TGGTCCGGTCATAATCTTCAGGCATATGTTCTCCACTGTAGATGCAAAGCACACGCATACCCGGCTTGTAAGACAGTTGTTCAAGTAGTTTCGGTGTAATGAGGAAGTACTGGCCGCCTCCACCACCACCGATGGGGTTGCCATTCTCGTCGGTTTCCTCAGACTCGCCCGCACAGGCAATGTCCACCAGACGTCCGTGAACCATGCGCTCGTTTCGCGGGTCCATACCTTGATTGATCTCATCGACAACTCGGAAGGGCGAAGCGGAGAGCGACTGAAGTGCCATGAGATAGAAGATCGTACTCACGGCTCGCTCGCCACCAGACTGGCGATGTGAATCCAAGACTGAGAGTCCCGCGCCCTCACGGAACTGGACGTGAATCACAATCGACCACTCTCCAAATTCACTAGGGCCAGGTTCACCATTGGGCCCAGGCTCACCTTCCGCTTTGCCCAAGGAAACTTGCCCAGCACAACCGATGCGGCGGAAAGAATCCGAAAAGGCATCGCTGATCTTCTCGATAAGCGCCTCCAACTTGGGTTCCCAGTCCTTTCGGATGTCCGCGATGGCATTGCCAAGTTCCGTAAGCTTGTGTAGGAAATCGGCGAGTTTGGAGCGCAACTTCTCGATGGCTTTTTCACGATCTTCGAACTCCTTGATCATGTGGCTACTACCACCATGGGTGAGCTCCAGCCGGGCCTTTTCAGAGTCAATATCGGCTTCGAGTTTATCCATGTCATGATCATCGAGCTGTTCAAGGATAGCCTCCGCGTCGGGTTGGTTCTGTAGTTCTCGGCTGATTTGCTGAGCTTTCTGGAAAACTGCTCTGGCCTTCACTTTGGATTCCCTTAATTTAACTGTGGCTGCCTGCGCCTCTCGTCTCTTTTCTTCTAGTAACTTCGTACTATCTATGTTGCGATGCCGCAGGGTCTGGAGATCGGAAGTCGCCTCCAAGAATACAACCTCGACTTTCACGAGCTCCTCGTGAGCCTGGCGGAAAAGTTCGACGGCATCCTACATTGCGTCAGGTAAAAGTAGACAGACATGTCCGTGATGAACTTACGGCATATTCGACAGCGGCCTCAGCCTTTCGAATCGCAATTTCGTCTTGCTTATTGCGGAACTCAAGAACTCTCTCCCGTACTCCTTCAAACATCGATTTAATATTTGCAAGTTTGGCCTCTTGTTGAGCTGCAAATTGTTAGACAAGTGACGGCAGAAGAATAAGATAAGAAACTTACAGATCCTCTCTGGGATTGCTCGGTACTGAGTGTGAGCTGTCTGTTTTGCGCTCTTTTCTTGCTCAATGGTTTTCTGCGCTAGAAGTCAGTATGAGGTGTGATGAAGGCAAGAGAATTGTGCAAAATACCATTTCTTGTTCAACCTGCTCGTGTTCTTCACGTATCCTTGACACGGCAGCCTTCTCGGACTCAAGCTTTTCCTTGACGTCCTGCAGCTGTTCTTTCCATAACGTGATATTCTCTTGGTATTCACGTTTAAGGGAAACATCAACAGGCTGTGAGGTCCACACCTGAGCACGCTTGATCTCTCGAACCCGGGTTGATGTGGCGCCTGGTCCATACTCTCTACGCCGAGTCACGTTATAGCCTGTTTTCCCAGATACCCAGTTGCTCAGCAGCCCTCCCTCCAAACGAGCAAATACTTCATTTGAAATATCACGCAGTCCGATAGGAGTCGAGTGCAGGTTTTTCTCACTGCACAGCATGGCAATCACAGGGTCGGGCCCGACCAAAAAATCCCTTGCCCAACCGTCGAATCCCAATTGCGAAAGTTCATCATTAGACATCGGAGGCCTCATAGTATCTAGTGGCAGCGAGCAGGTGCGGATACTAATATCATGGAGCCGCAATGTTTGATTAATCGCATTTTGGAAGGTGCGGAAATCATTCTTAGTCTGCACGGTGAATGACGTGAAGTCTGTCTTCTGGAATAAAGACTCAACAGCATCGGCATATTTGGGGTCGGTGATTGAGCACGTAACCATTGGAGGGCCGAAGACTTCTTTTTCAAACTTGCTTTGGTTTTCAAGAAGCCATTTATAGGCTTTCATGGAATCAGAAGACGAATTTTGCAACTTCATTTCTTGTTGGCCAGAGGCTGAGTCCAAGTTACTCAACTGGCGTTCGGCCTGCTGGATATTCCTTTGCGCTTGCTGTTGCTGGTCCTGAAGGGGCTGCCTCCTATCTTGGATTTCTCTAGCCTTGATTTCAAGCTCGCGCTTTTGGAGTCGTTTCTCTCTCTAATGTTATGGTCAGCACGCTGGTTCAAATAGTGGAGAACGCAAGGCTTCTTACCAAAGTCTCGTTGTAAAATTCTGGGTCAAACTCCACGGCCTCCTCTTCTTGTTGGCGTCGAAGCCTATTGATGGCTTGCTGAACCGATGCTCCTTCGGATTTGTGCCTTGTACCACTCTTCTTTTCGGCCTCAATCTGATCATTGAGATCCTTGATCTTACTCTCGAGTTCTTCGACTTTGTGTGCACGTGCAGTGGCGGCCTTGGATGCCTCGTCAACAGAATCCTTTCGGGCATCTTTTACACCGTTCAGCTGAGTGATATAGGCCTCTTTGGCATTGACCGCACGCAAAATAGGTTCATTTTCTGCTTGAATCCGAAGATATTCTCGCTCGACTTCGGCTTTGGTGACCTTCAGGGCCTCGACAGCAAGGTGGTGTTCCTTGTACTCTACAATCGGACGGCAACGCTCAAGGATCTCGATTTTCCGCTTAATCCCGGCTCGCTGGCGCATTCTTTCAACGTCGGCTCTTTGCATCTCCTGGCGATTCTCCATATTCTGTAGCAATTCCTTGTCGCCGCTGTTGTCCATCTCTAGTTTCTTCTGCTCAGCTCTTAACCTCTTCAAGGCATCATGCCACTGGGTCATTTCGGGACCAGCTGCTGCTCTTTGCGTAGAATGAAGAAGCTCAATCGGTGTAAGTGCAGCAAACTCAGCGACTTTATCCTGAGGAAGGAACTGGCAGAGGTTGTCTACCTGGATGGCGAACGACTGAGCCAGCTTCAGAACGTCGTTCTTAGAAGCGGAGGATCCATTGAGTGTAAAGAAGCTCTTGTTGCCATCGCGCTTTATGATTCGCTGAATGATAGGATTGGCGCGGGTCTTGGGCGGTCCGCATAGTTCAATCTCAATCATAGCCTCTCGGGCCCCATGCTTCACAAATTCGCCCAGGTCTTTGGCGCGTCCAAGATGCTAGAGATCGATGAGTGTTAACATATGGTGGCAGTGTAGTATTATAGCTCATATCATACCTGAGGTCCCCATCCCAGGCCCAAGCAGATGGCACAGACCAGAGTGCTTTTGCCTGTTCCGTTTGGACCAATGACCATGTTGAGCTTTGGTCCAGGATAAAACTCCGCTGAGGTGTATGTCACGAAGTTCGTCACCTTGATCCGGACGATCGCACCTGGCTTATAGCCACCGGGGCCAAGGCCATCGTGGGCTATCGCACGCGGGGCCTGGGAAACTGCTCCTGGTGTTTCAGATCCAGCACTATCCTCATCGCTCTCTCCGTCACTTCCACCTTCGCTCTCTTCTCCACGTTCCGATCCATCATCACTTTCAGCGGGGTTCAGGCGGGGGCGTTTATGGCTTGAGGGTTCGGCTGGGGGATCAAATGTTGGATCTTCGCTTTCTTCATCCTCGCTGTGAGCCCGACGACGAGGTACACTGGGTGATGCCATGGTTGTCGAAACCCTCGAGTAGATGTGAAGGGGGCCTCATGGGCTGTCTGCGAAATTCGCTTTGTTCGGGCTTTCTTTGTTCAAGTCAGACGCGAGGGGAACGCGTCCGCGATCAATAGAAAGCCTAGTTTTAGTAGGCGGTGAGAGACTCGGAATGGCCAATTGGTTGCGATCAAACAGCTTCGACTTTGTATAGCAACTCACCATGCCTCCTCCAAATATCAAGCGGTTGATCTTAACTGCTGCGGTAGTTTCTATCACTATTACTGGAACTCTTTATGGAGCTGGTCTTAAAACACAGAAAGAAATTGCCGAGGTATGAGCGAATCCATCTAGCCCGAAGCTATCCGCGGTCATGTCATTGAATATCATTCCAGATTTAACAATTTATGCATTATAGACAGCAAAGCAGCGACAACAATCGACGTTTGATGAACAAACTAAAGCCCTCCAGAATATGCGCTCCAACTTGGTCGCTCGGAGAGGCATAATTGAGAACCAGATACGAGACTTGGATGCAAGGGTGTTGGAGAAGCAGCAGAAAGGCATCGGCGGCGATGATCAAGATAAACCGAGTGGAGGACGATGAGCACTACGGACTCTCTACCTAATGGAGGCAACGGCTTCACGTCTACCGTTTAATGCGAACCAACCGTGATGCAACCGGCATGGTTTGATCCTCCGAAGGATCAGCCACCACTTTCAATTCAAGTTCGAGGTGGCGTCTATCGACTAGTTTTAAGATGGGTCTTGATTCCCACGAGCCGCGCAACAAACTTCCTACCGGATTAGTTGCACTTGAAGGTGATCTTCGAGACACGCGTCTACGCAATCCAACCATGGCCTGCGAAGTCTGAAAACATTCGACTTGCTCCTATTTGTGGATTAGCCTCGATGAATTTGACTGCTTGCTACTGGCAATATCAGTGTTCTCATGTACATAATCTGAGGTACTAGTTGAACCAGCTACTACTTCTTTTGTTTATAGACAATATATATATATATATATATATATTCCCCTCCTACCCGGAGTCTACAACGAGTCTGTCTCTATAACATTTCCACAGATAGCCGAGTATATATTGGAATTCACCAGAAGTGCATCTTTCTGGTTGCTCAAGTGACACTGAATGTCACCGAGTAATCAGCAAGATCCTCCGGAGGTCACTTCCAGCAGTCACTCTGACCTGAGCGTGGCTCTTCCGGGGTTCAGTCCGAGCGACCTCATACAACCGGCGGCAGCTCGGACATAGGAAAGGCCAGTGGCGAAACCCCAAATGTCTAGGCCTCAAGGTTGAGTCTCTCCAACAAAGCATCCAGCTTCTCGAGCAAGATCTCATAGTTCATAGCATCTTCCGAGAATTCATCCTCGACAACCGCGCCGTCCAAAGCTCGAAGCTCCGAGGCAACCTCTTTTGAAATATCCAAGGTCTGGACATCTTCTGTAAGTTTTATAACTTCTTCCGGCTGCTCATCTTCATCAAGATCTTCTGGTAGTTCTTTTTCATCCATCATCTCATCCAGGCCAGCCTCATCAAATCTTAATCTAAAGCGCTCCCCAAGATAGAAGCGGATATCATCCAGCATTTCAATGGAATCGGTTTCCTGTCTCGCCTTGATGCGAGATGCTGATTCCTGGATCAACTCCGCAAATTCTGGGGTATCTATATGTGCTTCCAATCGGTAGGCAAGATACCGAGCAGCGAATTCTTCCAATCGCTGCACGCGAGTCAACCATGCAGCTCTAACAATTGAGTAAATGTCAATGTCCTCTTCGTGCGCTATACCCCTAGTCTTTGCAGCCTCGGACTGAGACATTCCAGCACTGCCGAGAGTACTGATAACCACGGCGGCTTTCGTCTTCAGCTTCTCAATGAAGAGCATATCTGCGGCGAATAGGACATCGACAGCTATGTCTAAGGGGAAATCGGCTCTTTCGGTGTATAAGAATGTAAGAATTATTTCCAAGACCTCAGGCGAACAGTTGATGTCGATGATCGTCAGATGCTCATCGAGGTAAGCTTCGCGAAAGGTGGATGTGAACATTGCTTGGAAAAACTCAGATCGCAAAAGCATTGCTCGATGGCATGGGAAGATGACTGATTTCGGCGCCTCGAGAATTTTCCCATTCGTGGCAGCGAGAGGGCTAATGGGAATCGAACTAGATGTGCCATTGCTAACCTCTGGGGTGCGAACGTCCGCTTCCTCCTCTTCCTCAGGGAGTTCATCCGCTCTCAGGAGAACATCAGCGAATATTGCGTTGCTTCGGTTCCACTTCACTTCGTTCACTTTCGAAGTCTCCACCTCGAGCTTGTTCCCCAGAATATTCTCTTGGAACCATTGTTCCATTTGATCTCGGCCTTTGGAAATATCGTCGGTTCTTCTTTGTCTAGCACGTCTCCGGTCTCCACTATCAAGGATGCTGTCTAGAAGACTGGGAATCTCCAAGTACTTGGAGATTCTATCCACCCCTGCAAAAGTCTCGGATTCGGTGAAGCCTGTTCCTGGCCCACTTCTCAAGTCCCGAGGGGCTTCTCCAAAGTATAGGTATTTGATAGCAGCACCAAATGCCTCCGGTGGAATAGTACTTGGGAGTTCCCATGTGGCAGATTCCGGTGCCTCTGCTAGTTTACCATAGAAATACGGGGAGCGTGCCGAGAGGATGAATTTGTGGAGGTGAAGCGATTGGTCGGACACATTCACAACAATATCTGTTGTTACTGGGGACTCCCGGGTGAGAAGCGAAGTTATATGCGCAGCTAGAGGTTGGAGGGGATCCGTGGACTTAGAATAGTCATATTCAAGGAGGAGGTTTCGTATCCGGTCATTTAGGGCATTATAGAGACATCTAAAGAACCACCATTGTTAACCCTAGTCACTCTCATTCTATACATAACCAATTAATGTTTACCTTTCACCTTGAAATGTGTCTCGCTCACAAAGTGCACCAGACTCGAGAAGAAGTTGCACAGCTTCATAATGACCACAGAGACTCGCCTTCCAGGTTCATTGGTTATTATGTGGCACGAGGACGGTCGGTTTATCAATATATTGTACTCACCAGGATCAATGGCGTATAATCATAGGGATCACGCGCATTAACATTGACGCCTTCGGTGATTTTCTCTTGACAGACTTTCAAATCGCCCTGACGACATGCATTGCATAGTTCCCGGAATGGTTCACTGAGATCTAAAGGGTTATCATCCTTAATAGTGCCCTCCTTAATCAACTTCTTCTCATTGACTAAGCTGATCTCCAACTGGTCCTTCCGTAGTACAGTTGGTTCATCCATCATGGCAGGTTGCCAGGAACAACAGGTGAAAGTGGGATGAGACGGCAAACGGCGGGGGCGGAAACAGGCTTATCGATAAGGCACACGTGATTGCAAAATTAAGGGGGTTCTATAGTATATAGATATTTGAAGAATGAATAAAGTGATATCAGTAAATAAAGTAGTCTGTATATACTCAAGTATACTCAAGTATATCATACTTAAAACCTCCCTGATAATCGTAATTGAACAAACGTCATTCGGTGTTTGCCTCCTTTGGACCGTTTGATCGACCTTCCCCACCGCCTGCTAGGTTCGGGAAAGCGCAATAATCACCCGTTGCATAGCAACGATCCCCCAAACACCCATATTCAAAGCTCCAATTCATATTGCCTTGACTCTTCCTCAAATCTTCAATTCTGCACTTCGACTCGTTTTTTTACTAACACAGGTTTTTGTCTAATACCGTTCATGCATCATTGACTCTCTGATTCTTCTGAATCGTCTTCACTGTATTGTCCTGAACTCTACAGCAATCTATAGCCATGGCAATTGCTTTGGCTGAGGCCGATAAGTATGAGATTTTGGACAAAATTGGTATGTTCAACCTTGGTGACCCAATTCATATTTGATATGTTCAAAACTAATTATATATATTCATTTAGGTTGCGGTTCCTTTGGGATCATTCGCAAAGTCAAGCGGAAGTCGGATGGATTCGTAAGTGTAATGCATTAGTGGCATCTTGCAACTGGGACTAACCTCAACTTGTTCCTATAGATACTATGCCGCAAGGAAATCAACTACATCAAAATGTCCCAGAAGGAGCGGGAACAACTCACTGCCGAGTTTAACATTTTGAGTTCCCTTCGTCACCCAAACATCGTCGCATACTATCACCGAGAACATCTCAAGGCTAGCCAGGATCTGTACCTCTATATGGAGTATTGCGGTGGTGGAGATCTAGGCATGGTCATCAAGAACTTGAAGAAGGCCAACAAGTACGCCGAAGAGGAGTTTGTTTGGCGCATTCTCTCCCAGCTTATCACTGCTTTGTTCCGGTGTCACTATGGCTCTGATCCTGCTGAGGTCGGATCGAACATTCTGGGCCCGGCTCCCAAGCCATCTGGTCTCAAGGGGAAACAGGGGCAAGTCACTATCTTGCACCGCGATCTAAAGCCCGAGAACATCTTCCTCGGTAGCGACAACACCGTCAAGCTGGGAGATTTCGGTTTGTCCAAGCAAATGCAATCCCACGACTTTGCATCAACTTATGTTGGAACACCTTTCTACATGTCGCCGGAAATTTGTGCGGCTGAAAAATACACCCTGCGCTCCGATATTTGGGCGGTTGGCTGCATCATGTACGAGCTCTGCCAGAAAGAGCCCCCTTTCAACGCTCGCACCCACATTCAGCTAGTTCAGAAAATTCGTGAGGGAAAGTTTACGCCCTTGCCTGATTACTATTCGCCAGAGCTCAAGAACGTCATTGGAAGCTGTCTGCGGGTTAATCCCGATCACCGCCCTGATACTTCCGCTCTGATTAATCTTCCTATCATTCGCTTGATGCGCAAGGAGAAAGAGGTTGTTGATCTCGGAAAGACCCTGCGCCGACGTGAGGAGGTTGCTGTTCATAAGGTTCGCGAAATGGAACAAAACCTGGCTAAGAGAGAATTAGAAAAGCAACATATGAAAGCCGAGATTGAGAATACCGTTCGACGAGAATGGGAAGTCAAGGCCCGCTTGGAGATCGATCGCCAGGTACAAAGTGAACTGGACCGGCTCCGCAAGCGATTTGAATCCGAAGTACAAGAAAGGGTTGCTATTGAGGTGAAGAAGTACAAGCACAACACTTCCAATAGCAATACCTCCCGAGACGATGTATTCCGCACTAGCACCAGCGGCTCTGGGTCTTCTCGCTCGAGCAATCAAGGCTGGCGGTCTTCTCGATCTTCTGCCAACATGACCGACGACGGCGATAACAACCCCTCATCAAGCGCCGACATTAGCCAGCTTTCTCTTTGCTCTCCTCCATCAAATGCCCGAAAGCAGCCCAAGAAAGAGACGCGAACACCACTTTGCCGGTCCAAGACCGTTGTCGATTCACCGGTGGATGTTCAAATGGCTGAGCCTTCACCTATCTCAATTGCCTCGCTTTCTCTGTCCCCTCGCCGCACTTCCGCCCAAGGAGGCGCTCGCAACATCTTCGCAGAGGCTGAGCGGAATAAGGCTAAATGGGAACCCACCTTGGCATACTCTGACGATGATGACGACACCCCCGATTTGCCCTCACCAACTCGACCCAAGGTGAAGCCCGACCCATTGAAGGCGCCTCGACGACCTCTACTTCGCCAGAACACTGCGGCTCTCATGCAGAAACTTAGCAACCAGCCTTCCCTATTCCCTTCAAGCGGTACTCGCCTTCCTCAATCGACGAGTGTATCTGCTTCCCAGTCTGAAGAGCGCAATGCAAATGAGAGCAGAGCGAGATCTCCGCACCGTCGTCTAAGCAAGATCCCATCATCCGCCAACCTCGCTGCTGATGCGGGGACCTCACCAACTCGCAAGAGTGGTTCTAAGCAAGCTCCTACCAAGAATGGGGGTGGTGGCGAAGAAATGTTTAAAGCTGTTATGCAACGCAACATGGGTGGCCGCACTCTGGTTGAACTCGCACAGGCGAGAGCTGGAGGCCGTCCGATGGACGAAGTCAAGCGTTGTGCCAGTGACTCGCGTGCTGCAGGTCCTACAATGAGCGTGAAATGCTCTGAACGTGATGCTCCTGCTATTTGGAACCCTGAACTGGATGAGATGCCCAGTCCCTTCCTTGCCCGTGGCAAGAAGGTTATCCGCAACCTGCGGTAGTCTTTCACTCAGGTCAAATTTTCTTTGCATTTACTTTGTTTTTTTCGGTTTTGTTTTTGTTTTGGTTTCTTATGGAGCTTTGGTGCGACTGGAGTTTTTTTGTGGATTGGAGGTCTTTTTTCTTTCGTTCCTTGGATTTGGATCTGGATGATTTGGTTTCTTTGGGACCTCTCAGTTCCCTTGCCCACCGTTTTCGGGTTTCGCACTTCGCTTCTTGCGCATACTTTCCCACTATGTCACGGAGTTGGCCCTAATGTTTTCGGAGCATCCTTGCCACATGCAAGACACGGAGTTTGATACACATGCCTATGGCTCGCTCGCCCATGGCTTTTTGCCTTCGTTGGCTACACACTTGCCTCCCGACTCGACTCTTTACTACTTTTCTTTTGTTGTTTATGCCGTCATGCCCCTTTCCTTCAACGAAGGAGATGATTCAGTTTTGTACATTTATTTGCATTAGCCATGCATTGACTGTTGGACTTTTGTATTTGTTTGCTCTTGCTCTAAACGATTAATTTATTGCTCGTCGTGTCCTTGTCCGTGGCAAATATGTTGCTACGTGGTCATATTACTGGACTACTAATCTTAGCTGTACCTCCAGCCCGAGAAGTCGTTTTGATATCTCTTGGCCCTGCCCTTCGCGCCTATTGGATGTTTTTTGTATTCCGGGTTACATCTTCCTGGTGCTGCAATGCTTCAATGTTGGATGTACATACACATTTTCATGAGGAACAAACATGTTTCGTGTTATTCCAGACTTGTAGTTGGGTTGTAGAAGTTTTTACTGACTTCCTAGATGTGTGAGCCGAGTCACCTGCAGTGTTAGCCCTAAGATGTATGACCAATACAGCAAGCACTCTTTTGTACTACTCGATACAAGGAATACACAAGTATGCTTAATAGGTTGAAATATGCAGCATTGTACGTGCATCATGTTTGAATCACTTTATTTACAACGTCGGCCATTACGCCCACGCCTGCTCATCCTCAACCTCTTCTATCTGAACAGTCTTACTCTGCTCTTGTTTGAAACGCCGTTCCTCTTCTTCTAACGTCAACATCCAATCCTCCTGTTGCGAATCCCCAGCTTCTGCTGAATCCCCAACCTGCGCTTGCGGAGCGGGGCCGGCATTATACCCAGCTTTTTCAAGCTTGTCCATCTCTTCTGGTTCTAGCAACTTCCCTTGCCCCTTGATTGACTGCTGTTTCATCCTGACTGCAGCTGGAACAAACTTCTTAGTTGCCTCCTGTCGCAAGTCCCGAATCTGAGGCTTCGCTTCATAAACAGTCTTGACCTCTGGAACCGGCGTTGGACGAGATGGTAGCGGATGAGGACCAGTGCGTTCAACAGTTGGTTCTGAAGGCACATTTCCATCCCGTCTGCGCTGATGCTGGCGCGGGATTGGTGGCGGTGTATCCCGCGGCATGGGTATCCTTCGCACATCCTCATCGGTATCGCTGCTGTCACTATCCCGGGGCATTCGTGTTTCATCTGAGCCCCTCCTTCGCTTCCCAAGCACGCCATCACCGCCGCTTCGTCTAGCGCCATCACCCTGGCGGCCTCCTCTGCCGCCCTGATCGAACCGGGGTGCCTTGTCGCCAAGAGCTTCACGCGCCTTCAAAACGCCTCGCAAATCCTTCTCCAGCGCTTCGAGGAGTTCCTTATCACGTGGTCGTAGTTTTTGTCCCGATTCCTCGGCTTCTTTGAAACTGTTGATTTGGCGCTGAATCCGATCTGGGTTGCGGCGCGCAAGTTTCTCATTTCGTCGTGCTAGTGCCTCTGCTTTGCCTTTCTTCAACTCTTTTTGTTTATCCTGTTTCCGCTGCGCGGCGGCAGGGTTGATCGAGCGCTCTTTGTCTTTGGCCATGACGTCGTGTTGGTGTTGGGATCGGTGTGTGATTGGTCTATAATTATCGGTATCGCGGAAGCTTGCTGTGGAAGCCGGTATTAAATGCCGTGGTCTCTTGTCGAATCAATTCCGCAAATTAGGCACCGGCACAAACGTCTCAGCTCTGTGGCGCGTCACACGTGAAGGGTATAATTGGGAACAAGGATTCAGGGTGCAGACTAGAAAAGAAAGCGCGCAATCAGAATAGTCGGTTTTACTGGCTCGCAGAATGACTGGTGATCAGTGCGTTAGGTCGCCTCGTCTAGATCGATCGCGTCGGGCCGTCAGGTCGAGACTGCAGGTGTCCGGGATTGGGATTGGATGACGCTCACAGGCCGAAAGTGAGGAAGTTTATGAACAAGCGGTGTGCACAGTAAAATTTTTGGTTTCAGCCTCACAATCTAGGCAGCTCAGGTTGAGTGTGGTAACTAGTAGATGAGTAAAGAAGTTGAAGTTGGAAGTTCAATGTACCACGGAAGACTTCCAAGGTCAAGTAGATATGGGCAGAAAACTACCTAGCCACACACCTTCAAAGCGGCGAAGAAAGCGGTGTATTCAAGACCCAATCAAATTTACTTCTTTCCTGGTCGCTATTTGTTTCCGTAGGGGAAAAGAGTGGAGAGGAGAGCTATCCATGGTTCAGAACTGGAACTACAACGACATGCATTCCAAGTACTATATTTACATGTTAAAGAGAATATTGATATTGCATATATCTATGTATATATATTTAAATATGCAATATTGAATGCTGTTTTTGAATCTCTTATTTTCTGCTAGACTTACTCAGTAAGTAGAGTCTCTTGATTCTCCCACATCGAGATAGGTGCAGAGCCCCAGCATTTAGCCTCGCAGTATCCAATATATACTAAAACCAAGAGATGTACTTGAAGAATAAGGCCGGAAAAAGATGCCCTAAAGCATCAAAACAATAAATACATAATGCACTAATTATTGCTTTTTCTTGGTTTTCGTTCCATCTTCAAGCCCCTCTTTATGGGGAGGTCCGAGGTATCATATTTCCGCCTGATCCTGTGCTCCAGAACATATAAAAGAGAAATCTCATTAGCCTCTTCGTCGGGGAGTGTAAGTGGCTTCCCTCGAGCCGCGCGCTGTTTAGTTGCCGCCAAACTCTCAGCGGCTCACACCTTCTTTCTCCGCCTCTTTTTTTCCTTTTCGATTTCTCCTCATGAGGGAAAAAAGAAGCTTCCCTCCCCTCTTTAACTGTCAATAGTCGCGTTCCCAGGTTTGACTGCAGTATATCGCAACTTATCCACTCTACACCTTCCATCCACCATCATGACCTGTGGTCCGTTTGGTCTCACATCGAGTTTGATCGGCGCATCGTAGACTGTCGCGGTCGGAGTATGTCTCTGCCGGGACCAAATGTCCGTCTCAGCCTCGATTCCCGACACTTCGCTTGGTCTCACCTCCTCCGAGATCCAGATCCTTCGACAGCAGCAGCAGATTGCCTTACAGGGTGGCCATGCCAGCAATGGGGTGGCCAGGGGCAGAGGCACCGGAAGAACCAGCAATTCCAGTTCGCGCGCAAACAGCGCTGCCAGCAGCCAGGGCCGCTTGCTGCTGGACCCTATGAGTCTCCGCGCATTATCGCACCAGCTGGACGGGTTACAGGCTCAGATCAGTCACCGGATCGAATATGTATGTTTGCCCCCACTGTTCTTATCACCAAGTAATCACATTTCACTGTGTTAACATGTGATATCCGTGATAGCTCGAGGATCAAATGCAGCGCTCCATCCAAAACACCTACGACCGCGCGGGAAACGTCATTCGCAATGCCGATGCCGAAATTGCCCGCACCCGTGAAATTCTGGCCTCCATCGACGAGTTGGACAATGAGTTGGCGAAGATCGCTCATATCCGTGATATCGTCAAGTCATTCCGTGGCCGGATCGAGAACCTAGATCATCGAATTGACCAGAGTTCAAGGCGCCGACGATGATGTTCTTCCACATACACCCCTCCTTATACTTTCCTTCAACCCCACACCTACCTTGGAGCGCTCCGAAAGACCGCATACGGTTATGCGCTCTGCACATCCCACTTTTACTCGACCACTGGATGGTCCAACCGATACACACCTATATTTTCTCACAAGTACCCGAACCAGAACATATCAAAGCCGACAGAACAAAACGAAACCAAAAAAAAACTATATATCGAATGTGTCCTCACGGACTCTTTTCTTGAATGCGCATCGGCCACCGTATTCATATATGTCACATTTCATTGGTCTGGGTATCTGATTTATGAAACAATTGGCTGAAAGAACTGTATGCCTCACGGCATCGAGGCGAGACTCCGGTGTTGAGCATGCGACCTCGAAGGACTAAAGTATTTTCACGACTGCTTGAGCTGTGCCAACAACGGCCATGACAACTCGGTTTTCACCCGGTACTGGAAATCCATGAGATTTGATGAATATCATGAAGGATTTTTTTAATGTTTCAACCGCATAAACACGACTTGTCTTTGTGACTTCTTTGATTTGATGTTTCCGCTATTTCCACTGTTGTTTCGATTCCCCTCTCTGCATGTTGCGTGTACATTGCTCTGGGTTTTCTTTTTTGCGTTGATGTTAGCCCATGTCCATCGCTGGGATGATTATAACTCTCGGCTTACGGTGTTCTGCAATGTAACTGGGAACAGTTTCTTCAAAACGATTGAATCGTACGTTGTATTGCGTTGGCTCCTCTAAAGTTGACATGAACATTGAAATGTCGAGGTCTGGATTTGAACACCAAGCAGGTCGTCGGTTTGGTAGCTGCAGGTTTATTGAGACTGTTCACGGATTTTGGGACTTCTTCCGGTGATGAGAGTGGGCATGGTGGTCCTGGTTTGATGAGAATCCTGGTCATTGTAGAAGCCGACCGAAAGCGCAGCTGATAGTCTCCTCCAAGGCGCCCTTGCTCATGTCGTTGCTATCGCAAAAGCGAATGCACTGGCTTTTCGACATGTCGACCCTGAAAGTGTAACCGCATAGGTTTCTTTGTTCTGCGTGGCACGAATAGTGCGCAAGGTGTAAGATCCGCATAGGGAAGGAAGCGACCCCACATGTAGTCGTCGAATTTGGCAGGTGCGATTCACGTCGGTGGGATATCCGCAGCTTCCAACATTGTCACATCCTCCTCGCGCGATTTCACATCCTTTTCTTGCAACACCGCCGAGGTATCCATTTTGGGACCATTCGCATCACCTAGCAAGGCCGCGTCCTTCTTGTGGCGCTCAGCAAGTTTCTTCCCACGTTTCTCTGTCTGCGGAAATCGTTTCTCAGTCCCGCATGAGAGGCACTTGACAACCAATACATCGGCCCATGGCTTCTTACCGCCGCGACTTGCGTTTCTGGTTTCATGCGAGCAAGTCACTCCCGGTGTCAGGATTGTATCACAGCGCTTGCAAATTGATCTTTTCAGTGTGACAGGAAGCCGAATCTGCGTTTTCATTGCCACGGCGCGTAGATGTGATACACATACCCTTGAGAGGTTTCTCAATGGCCCTTGAGTCTTCTTTTGGTTCAAGGAACAGACTTCTTCGTTTGTATCTACCATATAGCCTTTCTCCACAGAGCTAACATGACTAGCAACTAAGTTGTATTCATCGTTCGCAACCTTAGCGTTCTGACCCTTGGCGAGTGTAGCTTTGTCCTGGAAGTATGCGGCGGCTTGGTGTAGGTAATCCAGCCGCGCTCGAATATGACTCTGAGAGTTTTTGGAATTCTTGGAGTCCTTCTTTCCTTTGACTTTTGCCATCTTGATCATTCAACAGAGCAACATGTGGGTCTCAAGATTCCTGTTTTGCTGTATCCTGCAATTCAAGAAAAGCTTCCCATTGACGCTAGACCAAAAGCGGTGAGGCTGAACGAACACGTGACGATCCCTTGGAGTGAGGTCTTCGTCCTACCGCCTAGGGACTTCTTCCCCTGCGCACCTTTGTTATCGAGACCTGCCACACCACGGTCCATTCTCTTCTCTTATTACTTTTCTCTTCTCTTCACTTCTTCCCCCCATCAACTCTCTCGTTTGCGCAATACTTTTACCACTTTTCTACCTCACCTATCTACGTCGCCATGTCTCACGAAGAAGATCTTATCGACTACTCTGACGAGGAGCTTCAGACCACCACAGCACCGGCCACCACTGCTGCGCCGGCCGCCACCAATGGCGATGCCGACAAGCAGGGCGACTTGACTGTGACCGGTGGCCGTCCCGACAAGAAGGGCAGTTACGTCGGTATCCACTCTACCGGTTTCCGCGACTTCCTGCTGAAGGGTGAACTTCTGCGCGCCATCACCGACTGCGGCTTCGAACATCCATCGGAGGGTTAGTCTAATTATTCCCACAAGCGTTCCTCCATTTGTCCAATCTCCAACGTCCGTCCATCCTCTCGGGAAGATTCTTCTGTCGGTTTTTTTTGGCAATCAGTCGTGTTTCGAATCTGCAGACGGCATGAGGATTATTGCTCCCGAAAATGGACAATATGTCTCACAATATATATGTGTTTGGTTCTATGCAGATCTTGCGCTAAGCTAGAGCCCTCCGTCCCCCAACCCCCACGTACTTAGTGGAGATTGGTGCATGCGGTGGAAGACTGTGATATCTATCACGTTTGTCTCCTTGTGAGACGCACCTCATGTTGTCTGCAGAATATGAAAGGATATCCACAAAAAGCATGTCTTTTGGATGTGATATACAGTCATGGTGATTTGATCAAGCGGTGGAAGATGACCGCCGACGCATCAATTTGATGATGCTGTCGGGGGATGGACGGACATTGCGAGACGGATCTGTTTTTGTTTCTTATTTCGTCGAACACAATCTAACATCGGCTCCGCCTTCCAACAGTCCAACAAGTTTGCATTCCGACGTCGATTTTGAACGTTGATGTTCTTTGCCAGGCCAAGTCCGGTCTCGGTAAGACCGCCGTCTTCGTTCTCACCACCCTTCACCAATTGGAGCCCGTTCCTGGAGAGTGCCAGATCCTGGTCATGTGCCACACCCGTGAGCTCGCCTATCAGATCAAGAACGAGTACGCCCGTTTCTCGAAGTACTTGCCCGACGTTAAGACTGCTGTCTTCTACGGTGGTACCCCGATCCAGAAGGATGTCGAACTCCTGGCCAACAAGGACACCCACCCCAACATTGTGGTCGCCACTCCCGGTCGTCTGAACGCCCTGGTTCGTGATAAGAAATTGTCTCTGCGCAACGTGAAGGCCTTCGTTCTCGATGAGTGTGACAAGATGCTTGACCAAATTGGTACGTATATGCAAGATGCAACTCGATTATCATATCCCACTAACACTCTCAGACATGCGCCGTGATGTTCAGGAAATCTTCCGTGCCACTCCCGCCGACAAGCAGGTCATGATGTTCAGTGCCACCCTCTCCCAGGAGATCCGTCCCATTTGCAAGAAGTTCATGCGTAACCCGCTGGAGGTCTATGTCGATGACGATACCAAGCTCACCCTCCACGGATTGCAGCAGTATTACATCAAGCTTGACGAGAAGGAAAAGAACCGTAAGCTGAACGAGCTTTTGGACAACCTCGAGTTCAACCAAGTGATCATCTTTGTTAAGAGCACCCAGCGTGCCAACGAGTTGGACAAGCTGTTGCGCGAGTGCAACTTCCCCAGTATTGCAGTTCACTCTGGTGTCAGCCAGGAGGAGCGGTAAGTTCACCCGAGTTCGGCATTGACCGCAATAATTTACTGATTCCAATATAGTATCAAGCGCTACAAGGAGTTCAAGGAGTTCAACAAGCGTATCTGTGTTGCCACTGATGTCTTCGGCCGTGGTATTGATATCGAGCGTATTAACCTCGCCATCAACTACGATCTCCCCGCCGACGCCGACTCTTACCTGCACCGTGTTGGTCGTGCCGGTCGTTTCGGTACCAAGGGTCTTTCTATCTCCTTCGTCAGCAACGAGGATGACGAGAAGGTTCTTAAGGAAATTGAGAAGCGCTTTGAGGTTGCCCTTCCGTAAGTTTCCTTCGATTTCATTAATTCCCTTGGGCAAAGGCTAACCATGTTCATAGTGAGTACCCTGAGGCTGGTGTTGACTCCACCACCTACATGGCTTAGGCATATCTGGGTGAAAACTTTTTTGATGTGAAATTTCTTTTTCTCTTTCCAATTGTTATGGCGCAATAGCTCGGGTTTTGAAATGTTTTTCTCCGCCGTTGGGCACTACCTCTGCCCTCTCGTGGATTTGAAGTGAGGCACAACCCTTTCCATGTATTCGAAAATATCAATGGAAGCAAGAATTGGTTAGCCCTGCACGACTGTTCAACTGTATCCTGATGGAAACCTTCGGATCTCGATGTCATAGTTATCGACGTCTGCGAGACAACTCAAAAAGCCGGAAACAGTCAGATACAGATATGCACCGCTCTGCTGTCGTGGTTTCAACTAAATGACACGAAGACCCTGCCAAGCCGATCTAGCCGGAGTGGATAGACACCCGAATTCAATCTCTGATCATCTGTGTTCCTCGTGATTCGCCCATATCTTTCGAAGCCGGTCCACCTAGCACTCTAGCCTGAGGGCTCCACCATGCAATGTACTACAAGCTGAATGTAGTCGGTGATCGCGTTTCTAATCTGACATGCATGGACTTCGTAGCAACATTGGTCATACTTTACTCGAACCTCGTGTCAATGTGGTTTTGACTGCTTCGAGGCGCGTTGATTTTAGGCAAGATAGTGCTATGTTTAGGATATCTATCGATCTAAAGTAAATACAACCAAGTGGGGACAGGTGATGCTGTTTGGTTTATGATAGGTTCACTATGAGTTATGGATTTACTTATAGAGTATCATTAGGATCTACGATAATGATACTGAAACTGGAAATGATAGCCCTTGGTGCTGAAATACTTTTGAATTGGATATATCTGGAACATCGCTTACACTCGTAAATCATCTATAACTCGATCATAAAATCCCAGCTTTCCAATACTACTATACGCCTCACACAAATAAGCTATAGCCTGACTCCTCTTACAGCCGAGGCAATCGGAGAGCATGCTATCTTTATGCTCATTTGATTTTACCATTTCGACATACTCTCCTCGCTCGCGCCACCTTTCTCGTAATTCCTCGTCAAGCGGCTGTCCATCTTGATCGTATCTCTGAGGCAAGTCGAATGAGACAGGCATAGCGGTAAGGAAATCAGGAAATGCGAGAAGCTCACAGGGAACTGTACACGCGCCTTCCCAATCAATGATTCCTGTCACACAGAAGCTATCATCCACCATGATATTACTATGGAGAAAGTCAACATGAGCTAGAGGAAATGGCCCTTCGTTATATAAGGATAACCGGTTAGCCATCGCCTTGATCTGCAATGGGAAGTTCTCGATAATCGTAATCATCTGCTCCGCCGAGATTGGAGCTGTACCATTCTGCATCATACGTGTGATCGTCTCATTATTCGACTTGAACTTAACGCTATCGGCCCACGCTTCGAAAAATGCGGCTGCTGTATCGAACGGTCCGCCGATTCCCGGCAGGGGACCACATTCGTATCCACCATTGTGGTTCCGTGCAACCGACCCGATTTGCGGGAGTCGTAGGGAGGTTAATTGGACCTATAGTGTATAGTGAGCGGATAGGTAATGGGTGGGCTTATATAGACAGAACGGGGGAACGAACATGCTGCCTCGCGACGGAGCGGTAGAAGGTCTGTCTGTGCTCTCTAGGTATTACACCGCGGTGGACATCGTACCCGCCTAGAGCGTCTATAGCGACGCTACCAGGGAGCACCTCTATCAGTATGAACGCGACGCCCACCGCGTTATTCTCGTCAAGTTCATACGCCAAAACTCGAGGTACTGGTACGTCGGAATGGTCCTTGATGAATTGCATTGTTGCGACTTCATTTCTAAGTCTGGTACTGCTAACAGGGGGGGATGCGTTTCTCTTAATATGGACTCGGGCTGCCCAGCGTGTTTTATCGGGGAATTCGAGTAGACGAACGATGTTATTAAGCCCGTTAGCAACTTGGTCTAAGGCTGTACACTCTGCATGGCCGGTGAGATCTGAAGCGATTTGACAAAGCTTATTCCATTGAGTTCGATGGAAACAGTCGATGGTTTGACTGTCATTTTTATGTAGGAAGTGCTGTATGGTAGACCAGGAGGTTGAGTTGGTAGACATGACTACTTATTGTCAACAGAAAGACAGTTAGTGAAGTGGTAGGAATCAAAATCTACTAAGAGTTATGGAAGGACGAGTTTGATATAGTTTTGCTAGGTTTTCTATGAGAGGAAAAAGCAAAAAGAAATATAACTAGCGGTGTGATGCAGCAGATGAATTAATCGCAGTGGTGAACGCAGTTATAAATGTTTTCCCGTGCATACTGCAGGGACATGACAACAAGTTAAACACACGGCAGGGAAATTAGGATATTCTCAGTGCGTGCCAGGATATGGACGCATGGATGATCTCATATGATTGTCAACAAGTTTTTCTATGTTGTACTCCGAAGTGCTCGGAGCTTGAAGTTAGTGTGACCTAGGTATGTATATATACCTCTCCAGATTGAAGTGAAACATTATATGTACGGCCGTTGATCGTAACACCAAAAAAAACATGCATAAAAATAAAAATTGACATAAAACAAGAAGTGAAATATAACAGTTACCTAAAATTAATGCCTGACCTTGAAATATTAATGCGTTACCTTGTTTTCAGGCAAAGTGGCTTGGCCTGACTAGTTAACTAGAAGATGGATAGGCAGCGGGTAGTGCATCAAAAACAAGGCAGCAAAAGAAGCTAAACACTACAAACCTGTCTTAGAGATTTTTAGTGTGTCCACTAGGGGGCTGTCTCGCTTTAGCGTCGGGTCTTGTTATGAGTGGCTCGGTGTCAGGGGTTTGATCACGAAGGTGTGCAGAGTCTGCGTTTGATTTGAATATCCATACCAAGCTAAAGAGTACGAGTACGGAGTACGGAGTGCAATGTACCTAGCTATTTATCTTAAATTCACTAATCCAATCAAAATACCACGAGAAATAGTGTTGAGACACGGCCGATTAGAAATTATGATAGGCCAATGGATGTGCACAGATACGATCGAGGGATCATCTTCTAAGGTCAGTACCTACATGAATTGTGCATAGGTAGATGTAGCTGTACATTTACTCTGGAGCTTTCCTAGTTGTAGTTGCCGCTTTTATGAGGGCGCAGAGTCAGGCTCAGTAAATCTCAGTCCGTCCCCACTAAGCAGTTTCATCACGTGATCATTTAGGTTATGGAGTAACATGAGATCTAAGAAGTGGATCCTATTACTGTAATTCTGGACCAATAACATCGTCTGAGTAGATCAGCGGCGTGCTCAGTTCTACAGAGCAAAAAGCGGCAAGTTTTGAGGTTCAATAAGGAGAACGCCAAGGAGAAAACCAAGTACCTAAGTACGGAAGTACATAGGTACGGAGACGGAGTTTTCCTGTCACAATTCTAATCACAATTTTCTCCCCTTTTTCATTTTACATCCGCGAAGTTCCGAAATCCGAGAGACTAGAACACACATGGGCTCTAGGCTCGAAGGGGCCACTTGGGGCCACTGTGAGATTAATTTGGTTTCAGTAAGACGAGCATATTCGAGATTGATTAATTTATGATAAAACGTGGTATTAATATGATACTCAGATATATTACCTCCAATTTCCAGCCCAATTATATCGTATACTTTATTTTATTGGGGCGCAGTCATGACATCTGTGGCTTCCCACATCATAAAATCAATCCCAAGCCTTATAGATTGTGGCTGAGGATATGAAGCTCTGATATTGATGTTTCCGGGTCTCCGCAAACGTGGTCCACGCGTATACTTGTTTTGTAAGTAAACATATGCTATTTATTTCTATCTATTTCCGGCGAAAATAGAGAACAAAATAGAGGTGTCAAATGTACTGTGAATGTATTGTCATGATTATGGTTCCACCTGCACAACGGGCTATTATTTGTACAGATTTGTCTTATTACATTGCATGTTTCTAGACTTGTGGACTGGTTCGACCATCAGATGTGATTGATCCTATGTTGGGCTGGAACAACATTGCAGCCACTTTAAGCCATTATAGCCATTGCATTGCTTGCATCTCTCTTTGAGCATACTATTTCTTTTTTTGATGTTATCAGATTGGAAAGAAAATCCCCGATATCAGAAAGATTCTTAACCCTTGCGGTCGCTGCAAACATACATCGGCACGCGCGTCGATCAGTTTGGTATGCTGGGATTATCAACACCGCCTCCCCTCCCTTCTTAAGGTATGCGGATGGTCGATCCTGAATATCCCTTGTAATTATGCTAGCCTCCTATATTATGCATGAGCCATATGGTTCAAAATCTAAAAAGGTCTTAAATTATCCCCCAATATCGGGAATCTAATGCTCTTTTTTTTGACACTTGTATCACTACAGATACAACATTCTCAATGTTTAAGAGAATGTCGGGGTGGGGAAGAGGGGAAATAGTCAACCCCTCTTATTCCAAGTTGTACAACATATGATGTACAATGACCGGTGGCCAATTTTCTGTTCAGTCTGGTTGTCAATTAGGATGTCGATCAGGGATACAAAATTTGATGCGTTCGTCTGCATGTGTGAACCGGCCCAGGTACCATGTACACAGGGATTTAGAGGAGATCCCCTTGGAATGGCTTAAAGAATGTATGCCCGATTTGTGTTCCTAGTTCGGATTTAAACCGGAAGATAAACCCGATGTTTTCAAAAAGTGTTGGCATCATTGTATTCTCTTTTTTAAATATATATAACGTCAGTAGGTTTAGAGTGGAGGGGAGATGACGAGACCAAGGACGCGGCAACGCGTTAAATGAAAATCCCTAGAAGGTCGAGAGAAGGTAATATAAAAGGGTTAAATCATTTTTTTTTTGAAAATTACAGTATTATGTTGTAATCTGAGATGTACTAGTACAAATCGGAAGAAAACTTAAGTTAAATATAGTAATGAGACTATATGTAATGTACATGCCCAACTCTCAATTCAAGCAAATTATAGGTACATATAGAATTTTGAACTGCATATATTCTGCGCCTAACTATCTCAGATCTTTAAGTGTTTCAGTATCTAAAGAAAAAAAAATAAGTTGCCTATTGAGAGCCGCAAAATGGCTAGACACAAAGTGGAGGCGAGATCGTTTACTAGTAGAATGGATCCCCATAAACTTGTAGAAAGGAAAAAAAAAGACTGCATCCATCTATCTCTCAAATATTCTTATCGTTCCTGGATTTCCGTTTTCGGACTGAGGGGGATCATTGAGGCTTGGAAGGAGAAAAACAAAAAGAGATATTGACCGATCGCATTCAATCGTTTTTTTTTAATCCTCTTATTATTTGCTTTACCCTAAAGCGTGAAGTCCAAAGTGAAGAGTGAAGATACGGGAAAAAAAAAGAATCTTGAACGTGGACAACCCTGTCTTTTCCTTTCCACCCACCCCCGGTCTAAACTTCCATTTGAATTTCATCCTTCTGATTACAACTCTCCTTCCTTCTTTTTTTTTTGTCCCCTCTCTTCCTTCTTCCTTTTTCCCAACCTTCGCTCTTTTATTCAATCCTCTCGTTTTCTGTAGGGAATCTGGACCTTTTGACCTGGGACTTCTCCCAGTTCTTTCCAGATTAGTGAGATGGCTCCTCCTCCACGTCTGCGCATTCTGTCCGGTGAGTTCATCTTCCAAACTCCCAGCATCTCAATACCTGAGATTCCAAGGGAAATGGTTCGTGATCTAACTTGTGTAGTCGGTGGCAATGCGATCTCAGCCTTCCTCTCATGGCGACTTCAGGCAACAACCTCCTGCGACGTTACGCTAGTCTGGAAATCCGGATTTGATGCCGTGTCTCAATACGGTGTCTCATTTAAGTATGTATTCAGGTGGTTGTGTCACAGCTAGATGGCTAATTCCCACAGATCAAAAGCATTCGGCAACGAACGATTCAAACCCCGGCATGGTGAGATTCGCCACTCGGGCCTGAGCTCTGGAGCCCCCCCCGGCTGACCTGCCCCGATTCTAGTTGTTCGTGCTCCTGAAGAAGCGTCATCCCGTGAAAATGCCTACGACTATGTCATCCTCTGCGTGAAAGCCCTGCCGGATGTATACGACCTTGCCTCCGTGATCGAATCCGTCGTCACTCCCCAACACACCTGTATTCTAGTGAATACCACAAATACTCTCGGAATTGAAGCCCATCTTGAGCAAAGATACCCTACTAACGTCATCCTTTCTCTGGTTTCCAACGTGGAAATTTCCCAAACGGGCCCCAGCGATTTCGAACATTTGAGCTCGAGCGAGATCTACGTGGGCGCAACCAACAAAACTTCCTCCATCCCGGCATCAATCCAGAACGACATGGCGGCGGCACTGGCAATGACTTTGAACTCCGGTCAGGTCGACTGCAAGGTTTCGGATAATATCAGACAGGAGCAGTTCGAGCGAATGATTGGGTGAGTTCCTTCGGATTCGCGTGAAATCCAAAAATTACATGCTAAACCTTCCAGCCCGATCGCCTTTCACCCCGCAAGTGTCATCTTCGAAACTCCCAACCACACACAACTCCTCGAAAAAACCGGTGCTCGTTCACTGGTAGTGGGCATTATCGACGAGCTGATGGAGCTCGCTTCTGCACACGGTTGCTCATTCCCTAGCGACTTCCGCGATAAGACCGTCCAAAAAATGATTGCGTCAGACTCTCCGACCACAATGTACTCAGATTTCCAAGGCCGACGCCCCATGGAAGTCGAGACTTTCCTAGGGTCACCGATCAAATTGGCAATCGAGTCCAATGTTCGCGTTCCCCGGATCGAGACAATGTACGCAGTGCTACACCACCTCAACATCGCAAACCAGAACAAGCCCCGACAGGAGTCTCCACCTGCATCCGTCATCAATCAGCCGCCTCCACGATTGTCTTCCGCGCCTCCGCAACAGCGACCCATGATGAATGGTGGCCCGCCGCCTATGCGTGGAAGCCGGACGCCCTCAGGCATGAGCATGCCTCCGCAGCAAAGACGAGGACCTCCTCCTGGTATGATGCCGAGAGGTCCAGGTGGACCGATGCCGGCGCCACCTCCCAACCGAATCCCGCGTGATCCATCAATGGAGGGCCTTGAAGAATTCAGCCATTTGGTTGTCTACGACGAACAGGGCGAACCAAGTATACCGCAGAATGGAAATGGGTACCCCGAGCCCGCATCTGGCCCTGTTTCTGAATTGACATTACGGGAGCGAGAACTGGCTCTTCGTCAACGTGAGCTGCAGCTACGTGAACAGGAGATGAGCATGCGCCGAGGCCCCCCCGGCCCCCCGGGACGTCGTGGACCGGTTCCCTCCCGCCCTGCTACGGCCTTCGATGAAGAAGATGAGGATTACTTCGACCCGATGGATACCATGGCGATCCCGCACATTGACCCTGACAGTGTCGACATGATGAGCATGACTTCCCGCCGAAGGGGCAAGGGCCCCAGCCACAGCCAGCTTCGCAAAAACCCAGAATTCGGTATAAACGGTGGTCCTGGCAGCCGCCCTTCATCATCGGCCTTCAACCGCTACTTTGGCAGAAAACGCACGAGCGACCGTGTGATGCAAGAAATCCCGGGTCTCCATGATTCGCTCATGGACAATCCCATGATGAGCTACTCGTCTAACCGATATGGAGCCGTGGACCGAAATCAGATGCACCAGGATTCTCGAGCCAATTCTTTAACGGCCAGCCACATGGGCGACTACCCACCTCGACAATACCCACAGAGTCGGCGAAACAGTCAGACCCCTGGAGTTCCTTTCGGCGGACCCCCGGGACCCCATGGACATCCTGGCCCCGGAGGCCCAGGAGGCCCCCGGATGGGCCGCCCGCCAATGCCGCGTGAACACAGTCTCGGACCCCCTGGTGGACCTCACAATGGCCAGCCATCCCCTCCTGGTAACATGCGTACCCCGGTGCCGCGGTATCCTCCAGGACAAGGAAACGCGGCGGGGCCGCAGCAAGTTGAGCAACACTATGGGGTGAGCAACGCGTTCCCTGCTAAGGGTCCTCCTAAGAACCAGAATCTGACCGGAAGTGCGAGCGCCAGCGCGGGGAGTGGTGATAGTGGAGCTAGTGCAAATCTTGATTCAGAACCCTCATCTCACAGCAGCCAGGTTAGCCTTGGTCAGGGGCTCGCAGCGCCTATTCGCTGAAAAGCGAAGGGTTCCCTTTGCTTTTACCAATGGCTGATCGGCGTTCCATGCTTGAATTCCGTTTTCGGCATTGCATTCTTCCTCGGCTTGGACGATCGTCCACCGAAAATTGGTCACGTTTGGACCTTTTTGCATCATGGTGTCATTATGCGGGGACTTTATTCTTCGGTCCCGTGCTCTCGAAGCACTGGTTAATACTCTGCTGTTCGCTTCTTTACATATACATGAGGGACATAGGGGTATTCGTTGCTCATTTTTCATTTTCAGTTTCGGAGTGTGGTTGGGCTAACGAGGTGCGCATGCGTTGTTTTTGTCTTTTTTTTTTCCTTTGTGTGATTTGCTCTGCATCGATACTCATCCTGTTTCGCGGCATTATCGATTTTTAATGAGGCCACTACGCAAGCCTAGACTGGGGCATCCTTATCCTTGCTGTTTCTCTCCCTACCTCCTTTTTCATCTCTACAGCATCTCGATATAGCGTCGCTGTCGGCTCACCTGTCCACCTTTTTATCTCTCCGCATGACTGTATACTACCAGCCGGCGCATTCCTTCACCCCTCCCATCTAGACTCGTATACGCCTATTGTTTTCATTTTGTCTGTTTTATCATCATTCGCTCCCCACGGGCATTTCCTTCATTTTCCTCGTTTTTCTTTGTCTCTCATACGGCTTGATGCAAACAGCCTCTTTGATTTTGTGGTCTGGTCTATGGCGCATTCCAAAAGAGCGGGGGTTAAATTTATTCGGTTCATTGAGTTGTGTTGATCTGCTTGCTGGGTTCGCGCTTTGCTGAGAAAATTAATGAAGGGTGCACTGCAGTGTTCAGTTTCGCTGCGTTTGAACGACACTCTATCCTTCCAAAGAGAATACGAATAGACCTTTCCGTTATATAAGGTCTCTATAGTTTATACCAGTCCAAGTGTTGATACTTAAAATCGACTGTGTTCTATTTGAAATATAAATTGGAGGAGTGTAGACACGTGATCACCAGATAAACAATCCCGCGGTCAAATAATATCAACAATCAACACAATCTCAAACCACATTCAACCTGCATACTTAGAACCATATTTCCCAAGCAGTTTCCAATCCAAACCATATCCAAAATGCCACCTCCTCCAATCCACCGTCGCCAAGAATCAAACACCAGCTATTCCCGCCCCTCAACCCTTCCAGGAAGAGACTACACAACCCAGACATTCAACACAAACCCGAACACCACATACACACCCAGCTACAACTCCAATGCCTCCACCCCTTCCATGTCCGCTGCCAAATCACGACAATATGCCCATCTTCATTCCCAGCTCGCACAGCTCAACGCCAACCTTGCCGACACGGAGAACTTACTCCGCATGACGGCTGTGCAGGCGGCGGACATGCGCTTTCTAGGCGGGTATTCTGGGGCGTTGTTTATGGGATCTGCCAAAATTCTGGGTGAGGAGGGGGTTAAGGGAAATGCGGATAAGGATAAGAAGGCTGATTCTGGAGAGGGAATCAAGAAGGAGGAGAGTGACGAGGATTGAAGTGAATCCTCGGCAATGATTTTGATATGGTGAGTTGGATATATCATGGTGCTTTACAATAGGCCGTATATGATGGTTTCTATGACTTATGCTAACATAAGATGTCTAACAGAGATATGACCTCCCCATATGTCCTTGTCCAACCGAGACATTATCTTACTCCACCACGAATTGACCACCGAGAATGATCGCCGGCTCATCGATGTTATGGTGTTCATAACTATCCCCAGTGTTAGCTATGCCCCATAAAGAATTTCCCCAAGAGTCATACCTGAGTGTGCCTATACCACCAGCCTCGAGAATCAACGATGTCTCTGTCAACGGCTTCCCAGTCCAGCGCATGGCAAAAGCACGCAGAATATGACCGTGCGCGACAACAAGGACATCACCCTTAGGTTCATCTGGGTTCTCAAATGCAGGACGCTGGTATTTATTCCTGATCTCATCGATCAGAGCGTCGAGACGGCGAACGACATCCTCAGGCGATCTGGAATTTATGTTAGCATGCACAACCGCGTTAATCTAGAATCAGAATTAAACGTACTCTCCGCCGGGACATCCATCAGTCCAAATATTCCACGGCCCCTCACCCCTCTCAGCCCGCTGCTCGCGGATCTGCTTACTGGTCATCCCCTCATAATCCCCGTAATCCCACTCTCTAATCGCCTCTGTAACCTCAATCTCGGCTTCTGTCCGAATCGCTTCCTTGTGTTCGGGCTTGTCCTGCTCATTCCAGGGCAATCGGCCCTTACAGCCAAGCTCGAGGAGTTCTAGGGTGCGCTGGGCGCGATGGCGGGGTGATACATAGCTAGAACGTGTTAGTTGTGCTTCGAGTGGAAGGGTGATTGGCAGTATATATGGGGATTTTTCTTACACATGAACGAGTTTCTTAGGAACAACTAGTCTGTCATTTCCGACGAGGGCTTTGCCTGTTGCTTGAATTCGCTTCTCTCCGTTGGCTGTTAGTGGGAGATCGGTGAGACCGGTGTGTCGGCCGTTAAGTGACCATTCTGTCTCGCCGTGACGGATAATAAAACATCTAGGAGCCATATTTGATTTGAATTGAATATAGTAAATATGAAAAGAAAATGGAGAAGAGAGTCTTCATATATTCACGACTGGGTCTCTTTGCGTCATGGTGGACCCGGATAAGCCTGTTATCGTTCCACAGAGTACAGCAGAGAGCATATACAACATAGCAATATAGCAGAGAGTGTAGTAGAGCATAGTAGAGCAGAGTAGAGCAGAGTAGAGCAGAGCAGAGTAGAGAGCATAAGACATTCAATTAAACATTAACTACTTTTCAATCATAAGGATAATCACCGACAAGAAACCTCAAAGCTATGAGCCGTCTTCTTCCGCGAAATAGGTTTGCACTTCGTCGTAGATCCAGCCTTCACCTCTTCAATCATCGCATGTCGCGAACATCTCTTATCCCTGAAAAATTTCACCTTGCAACCACGATCAATATCAACGTTGATGAATGCTTCCGCTCCTCCCTCGATATTGGGACGACAACCCGTTGACCCCTGGCCCGCGTAACTGACTGTACTGCCGACACAGTGCTTGTTATGGAATAGGTCGAAGCTCCAGTTGTGTTTGTGAGTTTGGCGTTCTTCGGGAGGACGTGTGGTGGGGAGAGTGGCTGTGGTTGGGAGGAGGAGAGTTAGGGTAAGGATGAGGGTGAGGAGGGTGGTTTGGATCGGCTTCATTTTGGATTTTGTTTTCTTAATGGGGTCCACGGATATTAGGAGGGATTTGAGGATGTTTTGTTCTGTTCTGGGGTTATGGTGTTTATAGTTGTTTTTTTTTTTTTTTTTTTGGATTGCGTAGTTATGACTGCTCTTCGTTTTACCGTGCGTTGACGCGTACATTTTGGTTGGGATATAACACTGTTTGATATTTTGGATTTGTGGTTTGGATTCAATAGGTTGATTTATTCTAATCAATTACTTCGAGGATATGCTGATTAGGCTAGGAATGAATATCCATATTATCACACAGTGTGCTCTGTATAGATCACTTGCCATCTTTCTGGCTGATATAATTAATGCAATGGAGTCTACCGTGTTTCTCTCCGCCTTGTTTACTCAAATATTCTGCCAGACAAATATCCATGCCATGTCTGTCACAATATCCTTTGATATACATAAAAACCGAGGACAGCAAATCCATTGACTCAAGCAATTCCTCGGGGAGCCCATTCAATTCCCGAGAGAGCAGTTCACTGAACCAATACCCGTACCTGCCCATCTAAACCGCAATATGGAACGCCGACTCACATCTAGAAATGTGAGTCTGGACTGGATAGAAGATCAAGATAGGCACAATATCTCACATCTCATCCAAAACACATACACCCGACTAAAGCACCAATACGCAGAAAACATGCGCCAGAATTGGGTCGAACAACTCGAATCACCCAACCAAATCCTCGAACAGCTCTCTCTCGCCGCATGTCTAATAGAACTATGGAAGAACATGTACAGCACCTCAACAGAAGAATCATCAAACCCAATCCCATTCCCAGGATTCGTCGACATCGCCTGTGGAAATGGTATCCTCGTATACATCCTTCTCACAGAAGGCTACAAAGGCGTAGGCTATGACGCCTGTCGTCGAAAAACCTGGACCACATTCCCAGCCGAAATACAGAAATGTCTAGAAGAGAGAGTCCTCATACCTAAGCCTTTTGCGGATGTACTGGACTTGCAAGAAATTGGTGTTGAGATACATACCGGCGTTTTCCAAAATACATTCATCATATCAGACCATGCAGACGAGCTGACCGTCTGGACTCCTATAATGGCTGCTCTAGCGAGTCTGGCATCGCCGTTGCCGTTTTTCGTGGTTCCGTGTTGTTCTCGTTCGCTTGCGGGTTCTGCGTATCGGTATCCCCCGCCAGGGAGTGGGGAGAGGAAAGAGTTAGAGCAGGATTCGCAGCCGGTGGCTGGTGATTTGAGGGCACTTCGTGCGAGGAAGATGGAGGAGAAGACTGAGAGTGGGTTTTTGGGGTCGATGGTTGGATCGCTTGCTGCGAAGACAATGGGTATTGCTGAGGAGATTGGGTTTGATGTTGAGAAGGCTTGGTTGAGGACTCCTGGTGCGGTTAATATGGCGTTGATTGGGGGTTGGCGGACTGTAGAGGGGATAGAACGTTCGGCTTCTAAAGATTCTGTTTTGCAGAAGATTACGGAGGTGGTTGAGCGTGAATGCTCTAAAGATGGGGGCATTCATGTAGCTGCTAAGCTCTGGGTTGAACGGGCCAAGAGTCTTCGACAGGGACAGGGGATGCATCAAGCTAACTAATATACCTAAATGAACGTGGAAGATAATCTGTCAATAGGATTTAGATGGCATAGACGCTCCAAGGTACAGTATAACAGAAATGGTATTGGTATGCTCTAAATCTATTCACACTAAACAAAACATAAAACATAGAGTGGGGGAATAGAGGAGTGTGTTAATGTACAATAATGTTACAGACCTCTTCAACTCCCCGTTGAAGATCCAAATCAAAACGCCTAGGCTCCCATTTCAAATCAAAACCATCAGACATACTATAGCCACTGCATCATGCCTCAGGCTTAACCTGACCTTCAGGGCAAACGGTCTCTTTTCCATCCCCGTTGGCACTTTCAGCACGGGCATTGTTAGAGGCCGTAGCTGATGCCTGCGTAGCAGCCTGGGAACCGGCAGGTGTTTTCAAGTTTCTCGACGCAGCTTGAGCCGCAGCCGCAGCAGCATTCTCTTTGAGACGTCTCAAGCGCTCAGATCGGCCTTCTCCTGGGAGACTGCCCCAAACCGGTTCAATTGAATCGGCACGCCAGTTATTGCGGTTTCCGCCGAGTGCGCTGCGCTTTGGGGAGAGAGGAGCGAAAGTGGAGCCTCCCACGCCGGATTCACCCCACATGCGGACCCGTTGAAGCTTGCGCAATTTGGCGAGACCGTAGACACAGACGAGACCAGTAAGAGCAAAGCAGATCACGGAGACACCTCCGAAACCGAAGTCTGATTCTTCAATGAAATTCTTCAAGTTCATGCCGTAGAGAGCGGAGAATAATGTTCCCGTTGCGAGGCCAAGTGTTCCAATGCTAAATTTGAGATCCATGAGCATGAGCGAGTTGCGGTTGGCGTCGAGAATAGCCTTGACTCTGTGGTGTGTTAGAGAAGATTTCTGTAGATAATGAACGATCAAACTTACACTTCTTCCGTATTACGGATATTGGTCACCAAATTGCCACTGGCCTGAACAATTTCATCGCACACTTTGTGGTACGATTCCAAAAGCATTTCCACTTCTTGGTGGTCATCCTCTTCTCGCTCTTTACCGTTCGATCTCTCGGACAAGTACATCGCTGCTAAATCGTCATCGGCTTCTAGCAGATCATCAATAGCATCTCGTACCAAACGAGCTTTCTGCTCAAATGTACCCAGCTTCTTAGAGTAGATCAAGAGGTGTCGGAGCTTATCTCGGTCGATGTCCTCTTCGAGTGCACGAAGAACGCGCACGACGGGATCTCTCACTCCATTAAACTCCTCCTCCAGTCCACTCGTGACGCTAATGAGAACGGCTTCCAGCGCGCGAAACTCGTACGGCAGTGCTTGACTAGGCTGAGCGGCACCCTGGGATGGTCTCTGGCGGAGCTTTCCTTCTAGATCGTAGATGAACAGCGATTGCATGTAGGAGTCTGTTGATCCATACGCATCAAACACGAGTACCCGGTCCGCTTTAATGAGGACTCGCAGATGCAACAGATTGATCAGAATTGCCCTAGGTCGCACCAGGATATGAGGGAGAGTCGACGAATCAATCTTGCGTAGATCTCGAGGAAGAAGGCCATACTGTATCGTGATTCACCGATTAGCAAATACTCAACTCTCAAACTCAATTCCTATTTACTAACCTTGGCAATCAACTCCTGCTTCCGGAATTCTCCATTCACGAGCGTGACGTCTCCATTGATATCAAACTCCGTGCATCGAATTCGAAGCTCATTTGACGCCTTGGCTGATAGACTGCGACCAATATTAAACATCCCCTCTGTACCTTCATCCATAAGCCCAGGGCCAGCCGGGCCTTGATTCTTGTGATCAGAAGCTTTGTTCCGCTTGAGATCAAAAAGCCGTCGGAGAAAGGGTCGGCTTTTGGTTGACGCATGACGCGAGAATTTCAGCTGCGTCGGTACTAACGGTGGCGAGACTGTCGCTCTAGTGGTATCAAGTGTTGCGGAGCCAGGAGCAGTAAGACGCGTCCAGCCCGAGAGTTTCGGGGACGCTGTCGAGAAGCCTTTATCGCGGCTGGCAAGACGCTTCGGATAAGCGCATGTTGATGGCGTGGCTGAGAACCCAGACTGTGATCGTAGGAAGCGCAATAAAGAGGTAGAAGGAGCAGACAGCCTCGGAGACAGCATGTCTCTTGATTATCGACTGAGCTGTACGCAAGTTCTCCCGATCAGATCAAGATACGCTTTTTTCCCGCTGCCCGGAACAATGTTGACCCGGATATCAGAACTATACGATTGGTACATAAAAACACCGCTTGCTTCGCAAATGTCTCGTACTCTGGGTTTGAAATGGCGATTCTACATATATACTGTTACTGGATGATTAAGTCAAAGCATTTCCTTCCCGACTTAGTGCCCAGTCAACCAGTTCATCACCCTTGTCCTTTCCCATCATGTCCTCTTGGCATTGAATCACCCAGATCAAGTGTGCCTCAATTGCATGATAATTCTCGAACCACAGCCAGAAATGCTTGCAGCTTTCATCCCAGGCACTGTGTTCCAAAAAACTTCGATCCTCGGGGTGTAAGTTTTCCCACACGGTAACCCACTTACGAAAGGCCAGCCTCAATGTCAAGATATCGGCGAGGTCAATTCTGAGATAATCGTGGGTCTTAACCTTTGCAACAACAGGCATAACATCCAAAACGACATCTTTAACCTCCTTGATCGGGGTTACCTTCTCAAGCTTCCGGTATCGCTTTAACAACCTCTCCCATGCACCCAAAAGCGTAAATGCTAGTCGCCTTCGCTCGCTCTCCAAGCAGAAGTCCAACCATTTCCCAAGTACTACACGAAGCTTTTCAGATCCATGATCTTTAGCAAAACAATGGTTACAGGTCGGCCCGTCAACGCAAGTTCCGATGATCTCGGCTTCGTCCCAGTTTTGGAACCCAGAGACGGTAGGTTTCCAGTGAATGAAAGTGGAACCAAGACGAAACGCGCGCAATTCCTGCCAGCTCGAGCACCCATGGCATCGTGCCATATACATAGTCCAGAGACCATCAAAAGCGTCGTAGTGAAACCTGTTTTGAAAAGGGGCATTCGCCGGCCTAGTGCTGCTCATTATAGTGGAAATACCGGGGAAACATCGGTCCAAGGAAGTGTCGAATCGCAACTGACGGCTCCGTATTACGGGTGTCTTGCCAGGACCTCCCTGTACAACAGATGCGAGGTTACCACGTTGGAAACGACATTCGTTGCATGTGCGTAAGTGCCGCTTGAAGCCGCAACGCTGTTTTTCAATGAGACGTGCTTCGTAGTCCAGAAGAACCTGTTCTTCCTCTTGTGTGATACTGCAGTATTCATCTAAACTAAAACCTTGGAATGTGGTCATCCCGCTGTCCTGGAAACTGGCCAATCTTGCGGCCCTATTGCGCGTAGGACTATTTAATCTTAATGTGTTGCATTTAGATGCGAGATCGTATCGACGTCGTATTTTCCGATCCTCATCCTTGGAGTCGGATTGTTTGTATAGACGGTACGGTTTGCGGGGTTCCCACTTTTTTGTTGGTTCCCAGCTCGTGTAAGAATTTGCTGCTGGAGATCCTGGTATTGGCTTGCGGTATTTCAGTTGTAGGATATTATGGTTGTCGAAGGCTGTATGTGGAAGCATCTGGAGACAGATGCTACAGGCCCAGCGCATAGTATGCCATTCTTTTGATGTTAAGTCAGGGTGGAGGTGGTTGTCCTTTGATCGAAAGATGGGCGTGACACCTCCGACTTCTTCATGACATTCAAGTTCAAGCAACCTCTCCAGGAAATGGATTCTTTGTGGCTGCACTACTGTGCGGAATTTGGAGTTGGTTTGACAGATGGATATGAGACCAATAGGGTCCAAGAGACGGAATATAGAGCACAGAATTTCAACGGGTAAAAGTCCAAGAGATGGAGGATCAGACTTCATATCGGATAAAAAGCGGGTTTGAAGCAAAGCTCGAAATTTGTGACTATACAGCTTTACTTTCAAATGTTTGCAGTGCAGATAGTAAAAGTGTCGAGTTTATGCCCAAGTGATGTTTATGGCGGTGTAAGCTAAACTCCACTTGGCCATAAGCACTACGTTGACATTGGAGAGAATAAAAAGAAGCATTTACTTCCTGAGATTATCTCTCATATCCACTGCATCTACCATTGAAAGCTATATACAAAGTGCCTCCTCTTTTGTTAACACTTGAAGCCAAACTTTTAGGCAAAACGCTGGACCAAGAAACATAATCCTCAATGCTCGCAAGAATGCACAAAAACCGTTGGTATCTTCAAAATACTTGAACAAGTCCACCGAGAACTACTCACCAATCGTCATCGTTGTCCTTCTCATCATCTACCAAGATAGTTAGCACATAGCTCATGTTTAGATATTGGAATTGACATACCACTTCCGCTGACTCTTTGTTTACGCTTGTTGAGAGCATCTTGCAATGCGCCGGCCAAACCACCTTGTGGAGCGCCTCCTGCACTGGGGGTTGCAGCTGAAGACTCGCTAGCAGCACCGGGTACCATGGCGTTACTTCGATCTTTCTTTTCAGTATCCTTGACCTTGCGCAAGACTCCAGCTTTGTTTCCACCAGAAGCTCGGATCGACGCTAGCAGATCTTCGCGGCCACCGGTGGGCTTTGGCAATGGTGGCGCAGCACCGCCAGGCGGAGGCGGCGGAGGGGGAGCGCCACCTCCAGGATGTCCCGGGGGTGGAGGCGGCGGAGGTGGCCCACCTGGTCCCCCTGAAACAGGTGCTGGAGGAGGGGGAGGGGGAGGCATTGAGGGGCCACCACGACCCGGGGGCGGAGGAGGCGGGGGCCCACCAGGTGCTGCAGAGCCAGGCGGCGGCGGAGGAGGAATGCTAGGAGAATACGAAGGTGCCGAGGGCGGGGCGGGGGGAGGCGAAACTGGTCCTCTTGGCGGCGGAGGAGGAGCTGCCGCAGGAGAAGATGGCGCAGCTGGCACGGGTCGAGGGGCTGGTGGGGGTGGAAGTGGAGGTGAAACGGGGCTCCTGGCAGGTGGAGGAGGAGGTCCGGCGGCCATGGGCGGCACTTTGGGAGGCAGTTGGGGTGGTGCTGCTGGGCTCGCTGTACGAGGCGGCGGAGGGGGAGGCCCGCCTGGTATAGGGCTGCGGCTTGGGGGGGCTGGTGGCGCAGACACCTTGCGATCACCAGAGAAAGCGGGTGGTACCCCAAATCGTGATTGACTCGGTTGATTATGATGATTATCGTCCATCGGTGTTTTAGGTGGTCGTGGGGGCGGCGGAGGTCCAGCATTGACGTTCGAGGTTGCGCGAGGACGCCGCGGAGGTACAGGGCCGGCGGGTTCAGCGAATTTTCCTGCGTCTGCAAACGGAGGCGGCGCATTGAATCTTCGCGCAGGCGGAGATGGCTCACGAGGAGGGAGGGAAGCCGGTTCCTCTGGTGCTTCAGAGCGTGCTTTCCGTGACGGGGGCGGCGGCGGCGGTCCCCGTCTGCTTGTCGAGCTGGAACCCGTATCTTGGGGACTGATCGTGGTCAATTTCGGAGCGGGAGGTGCAGAAGGCGGCGGCGGGGGAGGAGCAGCCTTTGGCTTATTCTGATCCTCCATGGGAGCAGGCTCGGCGGCCGCTGCCTGCTTCTGGTCAATCCAAGCTTTGATGAAGTCGGAATTCTCGGCGATTTGGTCTTCGGTAATTCCCATCCCCTTGAGTTCATCCAGTAGTCCTTTCCAAGAGGGGTCACTTGTATCAAATGGCAAATCTGGCTTAGCTGGTGGCGCGCTTGGGGCCAGCGTCGGAGGTGGAGGAGCAACCTGTATGGAAGGTGCAGGTGCTGGCGGCGGTGCACTTGGAGCCGGGGTTGAACGATGTAACAAGCTGCCAAACAGAGACCGTCCTACTTTCCCATTGGAAACAGGAGCAGGTCCCTGGCCTCGACTAGATGCGAAAGGGGTCTTGGATGTCTCTTTGCTTGCGTGTTTCTCGCGCTCCTGCACCTTCTTGATAAATGTCTTGGCCTCCTTCTCATCGACGAAGGACAGGCCGGCGGGGCAGGCTTCAAGCTCGAATGTATGAAAGAAGGTTCGGTCCTGGTTGTAAGGGAAGTTGTCATAGATCTCCTGGTCCCAGATCACGCCCCTGCTAGCGGGCTGCATACAACGCATTGTTAGCACTTCTATTCTTAATTCCAACACCAGTATGGGTCGCGTACCGAGACATCGACTATTTTAAGCCAAAAAGTCCTTCCCACGAGGTCATTGCAGAGGACAACAGCGCCTTGGATTCCGGTATATGTCCATTTCTGTGGATCCGGGTAGGCGACGTAGAGTCGCGCGACAGCTACGGCGAGGATCTTGTTTGCGGGTTTGGGAACGTTCCGCTTAACGGTTTCCTTGTCGGCATCACTAAGGATGGAGGGCATGGCGAATCGAGGTGATCCCCCACTAAATGGAGAAGGTCAAGGTGATAGTTCGAGGGTGGTTACGTGAGTAGAGCACACATTGCAGTCGGGCGGGTATCTTCAAAGGATGGAATAGCGCCCTCAACACACCGAGTGGTACGGTAGCAGAAGGTACAGGGGGTTTCTTTGTGATTGATTGTCTATATTCAAAGGCCGATGTGTGAGAGGAGAGCCGACCGGCGGTTGCCTTGAGAGTTGGAGAGGATAGACCGGAGATGCGTAGGCGGGGCGGACCCAATACACCGGTGTGACCTGGGCTTGCACCGCTAACGGCATATAGTACTTTTTCTTGTATCAAAGACTTCCAAGGTTATTCTAGATTCTTTCTGTTTTAATATCTCATATGTAAAACATTCTGAAGATAATAGAATATTAACATGCCCTGAGTAAGGAGGTGTGATTTAGCGTGCCCGATTCAATATGTGTTTTATTTTCTATATAATCCTACCATTTGAATATGAGCTCACTTCATTTCTAAGTATGTATGTGTGACTATGTACTAGTAAATAGAATGTGTTAAAAGTGTTGAAAGAGTATAGCTACAACATGTCAAGTTACACCCCTTGCACCCCAAACCCACTAAAGATAACCAAAGACTATAGATTCAATTGAATATTTTTTGTTCTTTCTCGTATAAACTGAACATGTTTAGGCAACTTCTATGCGATTTGTTACAAACTGACCACCGACGTCATCCCGCTTAAGATCTATAAAGCAGACATCCAGCCAACCTTCAAGACCTGTTTCTTCAACTCACCATCACAATATTACCAGAATCATTTGATCCATCTACCAGTGAACAAAAGCTAGTATCAGCTAGTGATAATTCAACAAAAACCCTTTCTATATCCCCATAATGCCAGTCATCCCCGAGTCGTCCGACTTCCCATCTGCACCCCAAAATGGAGGCAATGAGGCCGAGAAGAAACCAGGCCAACAACCTCAGAAAGCGACTGCAGCGGACTTCATATCGAAAGGACCTCAGATTCCAGACAGTAAGTTGGCTACCAGACCTACACAAGCTCGCAACTGACATTTTGCAGATATGCCTCCCAAGGCTTCGAAAGAGGAGCTCGAGGCACGCGCGAAGGAACTGAACAAGTCATCCAACTGATCGATGATTGACATATAATCTGCATCTATTTGTACTTCTTTCAATACCAGTTTCTGCCATCCCAAGCAACTTGTCCTTGTCAAATGTATCTATAGCGGGTTATGACCCAAACTAGGTCCAACACCAACGCACGGGGAGTAGCTGCTTGAGAAATATAGAACATACTAGATACAAGCCAGGTAAGTGCATATTCCGAAGATCTGCGCTCTTTTTTTTTTCGAAAGCTGCGTATACTTGAAGGACCTCAGGTTCATAGATTCATTACGTCATACATACTTGAACCCAATTAGGATAGTACTATATACGTTTACCCAAGGGACCTTGGGGAATTTGTCGGCCACTTATGCGGCCTTATGATGTCTTTCAGTAGTCTCTTTAGTGGTTGTCTCAGATATTATTCTGTTTAGATATCTTGCCAGGTTTAAAGGTCGACGGCAAAAACCTACCTAGGTAATTTGTAAAATAGACATTTCAAAGTATAAAGTTTGATTAAATTAAAGGCTAGAATACTACCAGGTGTGGATAGAGAGATAACAGCAAAGCGAAAAAGGGACAGAACAACAGCGGGAAGTCAGTGTACACGGAGTCTAACCCACAATCGCCTTCAAATCTCCATCAACGTCAACGTAGCTTTCCAGGATTAGCTCCCCCCAGTACTTTTCTTCAATCGACTCGCCTTTGGCCTGAATTATTGCGCGGGGAATCGATCGGTATTGCAGTGCATCGATACACCCTGCTTGTCCTAGTATGATGCCCGAGCGCCCATTTGGGACGGCGTGCTGATCCACAACAACCGCAATAATGTCCATAGAAAACAGCGTGTTTGTAAATTCGACTGAGAATGAGACTTGAACACGGGATTCACCTTGATGTATGTATGGCTGGTGGATAGGGTCAGATAGGTAAGCTTGGAATTTATCATCGAAGAGATCCTTTGTGATAATTGTGTTTGCGGCGCCCGTATCCCAAAGAAGTCGGACTCCCTCGAGTTGAAATTTTGGTAAACCCTCTTCGAAATCCATTGCAGTGACTACGATGTTACCAAGCACAGCGGCTAACTTATTCTGCTCAAGTAAAGAACGTGCTGGAAGGACGTAGGGATCTTGCCGTGGGGATGTATTTTCGTTTTGAAGCTTCTGCTTTAGCAAAGCACGGCGATGTGGAGAGGCGGATTGTGGGAGATCTTCCGGGGTTAGTTTTCCGGCTGTCCGAATAAGCTGGCTTGATGAAGAATGGGTAGGGTCGTTTGACATTTCTTGTAGGGCCATCTTTCGTAGTTGCGCTCGACGCACTGGATTTGTCGTAGGTAGGAGGATACGGCCTGGAAGTCCACGTACGCAGTTCAAAGTCGCAGTCAGTGCTTCTTCATATGGGACATGGTTAGAGAAAAGAGTCACGCTGAGGTCACTATGGCGGTTGTCGAGGTTTTTAGAAACTTGACCTAGGACTGTGCTAGGGCGGTATGTGTTAAGAAGCTCCATGACTATTGAAACGGAAGTCACGGGTCCAGGTTGACAGCACTTAGGAGGCGAAGATTAGGATATGGAACTATGAAGGAATCAATAGGACAAGATCAGTAGTATGAATGGTAGGGTTCCGATGAGTGAAGCGGAAGATGAGAAAAGGAGAGCAGAGTATCTGTCTCGGACCTGTCCCATGGACCCCCTCACAGCGCACGTGATCGCGTGACGTCGTGTTCACCTGGATCGCGCACTTCCCAACGAGTTAGGAAGTGCTCCAAATGCCTCCAGAACGGTCCAATGTGCCGGTGAAGCTGTCTCTGCCGCTGGTAAGTTCCCTATAAATCTGCACAGGGTTACTGCTAACACCCATCAAGCAATACCAGCAGGAACTCTTCACCGAACTACGCGCCGAAGATGAGCTAGTTATCCTTGCACGAGGCCTGGGCCTTCTACACCTAATAACAAATCTGCTCCATTTTTACGATGCAGCGGGAAACAATCTAGTCCTGGTGGTGGGCGCAGATGAACGCGAGAATGAATGGATCGGCGAGGGTATGTGGATTGGTTTACCTCCCAGGTCGAACGCTGGTTTTAGAAACTGATGGATCCTGAAATCAGCACTGGCGGAGCATTATGCTACTAGCAAGTCCCCTCTTGCTAGGGGGTTGAAAGTGATCAATACCGAGAAAGCTACGGTGCCGATGCGGTGGGTTTCTCAGCTCTGCCATGTCGCTTGCAGCGTATTGACAAATTGCCAGAGAGAGAATGTATGCTGAAGGGGGTATTCTGAGTGTGACATCCAGAATACTGGTAGTGGACTTGCTATCGAGTATGTATGTCTAGTATGATGGCTCAGACGCTCGCTGATCTCGCTAGAACTTCTGGATCCCGAGAAAGTAACTGGGATGGTCATCTTACATGCTGATAAGGTTATGGCAACGTCCCTCGAAGCATTTATTGTCCGGGTATACCGACAATCGAACAAGCGTGGCTTCTTGAAAGCATTCTCAGATTCCCCGGAGCCATTTACTACAGGCTTTGCCCCGTTAGCTAATATGCTGCGGAACCTTTTCCTGCGCAAGGCATCACTGTGGCCTAGATTCCATATTTCTGTTGCCGAGTCTCTAGAAGGAAATCGCAAGGCAGAGGTGATAGAGCTGGAAGTTCCTATGAGCGACAAAATGAGGGAAATCCAGAATGCTGTCCTGGAATGTGTAGAGATCAGTATCACTGAGCTCAGGAAGAGCAACACCGGGCTGGATATGGAAGAGTGGACGTTGGACAGTGCTCTGCACAAGAATTTTGATATGATTATCAGACGTCAACTAGACCCAATCTGGCATCGTGTGAGCTTCAGGACGAGACAAATCGTCAGCGATCTGACAGACCTACGAGGAGTCCTTCAGTCTGTCTCCCGAGCTTCTCTCCATTTCCTTATGCTAACAGCTCCGCAGTGCTTTACTCAGCTACGATGCGGTATCTTTTGTCAAGTACCTTGATACCATCGTGTCTGCGCATGCTCCACCTCCCGGATCCAACAAACATAATTACTCTCCGTGGCTTTTCCTTGATGCGGCCCATGTCCTTTTCCAGACAGCCAAATCCCGAGCTTACGAAGGCAAATTGACCAACGAACTCAACCGCCTTTCATCTTCAACTACATTTTCTTCTGAGTTGCACCCGGTTTTAGAGGAACTCCCAAAGTGGAGTGTCCTATCAGAGGTCCTTGCAGAAATCGAACATGATGCTTACCTCCATCCCGTGAGAATGGATCAATCAAATAACACCATATTGATTATGTGTAGTGATCAACGAGTATGCCGCCAGCTTCGCGAGTACGTTGGCACTATGCATTCTAAAATTGCCCAAGTATCCGATTCTAAAGAAGATGATGATCCGAGCGAGGACAAACCTTCTGCGGAGCTTATGATGCGGCGTCGGCTGCGAGACTACCTCAATTGGAAGAGGTCTCTCTCAAATGTTAACAAGAATTTGTCCCAGTCAGGAGAAGATGACAAACCTGGAAAACCTTCAGAGTCATCAGCAGCCCAGGGCGCGCATCAAGGACGGCCTCCCCCAAACAAACGTCGTCGAGTGCGAGGCGGTGGGGCAGTTACCTCGGCTGCAGGTCGCGTGCCAAATAGCAGTGTCCAAACCGATGTTGAATTGCCTAGTCAGGTCGTGAGTTTGCTAAGCGAGATTGAGCCTACCGAGGTAGAAGAAATGCAGAAAGAGGAGGTTATTGTCGATGAACTGGAGGATATGGAAGATTTCTACGAATTGTATGATATGAACGATCTGGTTATGATACATCCCTACGACGGTGATATGGATGAGCATATACTCGAGGAAGTGCGTCCACGATACATTATCATGTACGAACCCGATCCTGCATTCATTCGAAGGGTTGAGGTATATCGCAGTTCCCATTTGGGGCGAAACGTGAAGGTTTACTTCATGTATTATGGTGGCTCTGTCGAGGAACAGCGGTATCTGAGTGCTGTCCGGCGAGAGAAAGACTCATTCACAAAGCTGATCAAAGAGAAGGGGGTAAGATACTCATCTACACACTACAAATTGCTAGCTAACTTGATTTGCAGAATATGGCAGTCACCTTGACTCATGACAAAAAGGATGAAGATCCCCAGGAGCAATTCCTCCGGACAGTTAATACTCGTATTGCTGGAGGAGGAAGACTGGCAGCTACAGCATCCCCTCCTCGGGTTGTAGTCGATGTGCGCGAATTCCGAAGTGCCTTACCGTCTCTATTACATGGAAACAACATGATCGTGATTCCCTGCCAGCTCACCGTGGGTGACTACATCCTCACTCCAGACATTTGTGTCGAAAGGAAATCGATCCGTGATCTCATAACCTCTCTCAAGAACGGCCGCCTCTATAACCAGGCCGAGACGATGCTCCAGTACTACAAGAGCCCGTTACTACTGATCGAGTTTGATCAAAACAAATCTTTTACCTTTGACGCGTTCGCCTCCGTTCCCACAGGGCCCACGTTTATGACAGACTATGGTTTCTCATCTTCCGGCACTGCGACCAGCACTACCAGCAGCTCACTTGCCAACCCATCTAATCCAAAATCCGCCCAGCATCTACTTGTGCTCCTCACTCTCGCCTTCCCACGCCTAAAGATCGTCTGGTCCTCATCCCCTTACCAGACAGCTGAGATCTTTGCAGAGCTCAAAAAGAACGCCCAGGAGCCAGATCCACTCCGCGCAGTTCAGCTAGGCCTTGATATTGATATAACTAATTCGTCTGGCTCTGCCGACGTCATGGCTGCGGCTGGGATTGAGCACCGTACATTCAATCTTCTTCCACAAGACATGCTGCGAGCTGTTCCGGGTGTTACCCCCCAAGCTCTAGAGCGGCTGATCCTCGAAACAGACAATATTAGAGAGATCGCCAACATGGAAGTCGAGCAGCTGGATCCGCTAGTAGGCAAAGACGCTGCACGTAAGATCGTTGCTTTCTTCCAGAAAAGCGTATTTGATTAATGGAGGATTCAGCCTGAAGTTTCTAGTGCATTAATGAATTGATGACTTTTGGTGCAAATTAAATTAGCATATTCGAGGGTTCACGAAAGAGCTATGTCGATGTGGTAATGTGTAACAAATACAACCAACATCATCCCATCACATCTTCATGTTTTTGCCCAAATCAGAGAAAAGAACAAATAAAAACACAGCCGAGACATCCGGGATCTAGACTCTTAAATTAATTTGAACCTGGTCTACTTGCGTACCCCCAGGACTCTTCTCGTCTTGGCGTTGATGCAGATCAGCTACCTAAAAACAGAACAGCCCCAGTCAGTCCCCAGTCAACAGCCGAAGCAAGGGCCCCTGAGAAATAGTGGAGATATTAATGGGTCCCTTTGACGTCGGAAATATTATGACAGTCTCCTGATGTTCTCAACATATCACCATGCATCTCAAGAATGTGTTGACTCCAATCGCTTTGGTGGCTGTTGTTGGTGCTGCCCGAAGTATACGAGATGTTGAGCCATGTGCTCAAATTAGCAAGTTGGTTGATGACGCCAATCAAGACAAAAGTACTTTATGAACTCGAAATAATCAATCGATCAGTAACTAACGGTCGCAGGAAATGCAATCGTACCCCATGATCTGGCACATCGGTGTTTGCTATCTATGCCATTTGAGTCAGACCGCGCCGTTGATTTCCTGATTCAGGTTCGCAAGATCCTCGAGTTCCAGTCAACTATCGATATTTTGAAGAGTAGGTCATATCTATTTGAAGAAGAATGTCCTTACTTGGCTAACTTGCTTGTATTACTAGATCCCCCATCGGGGTATACAATGCCTTCAACGGATATCATGGGTGAAATCGACACAATCATGGCCAAGGCCCGGAGCAACAGCTATACCAGCCAATTTGAGATGGACTTGGAAATTAACCACCTTATCAAAACGGCTCATGATGGTCACTTGGCCTTCCAGCTATGCTCGCAGTCAATCTTCAAGTATCAAATCGATATGCCTTTAGTATCGATCTCAACAGATGGACTCGCACTTCCCCAGGTGTACGCTTTAGGTATGTCCAGTTCAATATCTGTACCGAAAATTCGAACTAACAAGCCAGGTGATGCAAAACTACAAAAGGTCAACCCAGACGCCGTCTCGCCTCTGGTGGCCATCAACGACACTGATGTGGCTACATACCTTGAATCATATGCCAATGACCAGAACCTCCAGGATCGCGACGCACAGTAGGTACTATTCTGCAGCTACGGCTTCGAATAACACTAACTGTTGCAGGTACAATCGAGTATTCCCCGCGCCAGCCCGCAGTGTCACCAATACTCCTATCAGTGTGAATGGAATATGGGCTTCCATTGGAGACTGGACTGACGGCGCTCAGCTATCCCTCAAGTTTGGCAATGGCACTGAAAAGACAATTCAGAAAACAGCCACACCGAACGAAAAGTTCTTTTCTTACGATAACGGCACGCATCTCTACAACATAGCGTGTCTTCCTCGAGACTTATCTACGGCTTCGACCAGCCCATCCGGCGCCGAGGAAGCCTCCTCCGACCTACCAGGATTTCCCACCACTAGCTGGCGCAACTCAGCGAATTCAATTGCTGGATATTACTCCAACTTATCAGGGCTGGAGGACACATCAATCATCTTTCTGCCCACCTTCTCGTCCAGCGCAGCAGAGGTCGCTAAGATCGCGACTGACTTCTTGCAAAATAGCACCGAAGGCGGAAAGAAGAACCTCTTAATTGACCTCTCCTCCAACCCCGGCGGATACATATCTATTGGCATCGACCTATCCCGCATCCTCTTCCCCGAAGTTGCCCCATACACAGCAACTCGGTTTCGAGCCCACGAAGCAGCCAAATTCCTCACAAAGGCATACTCACGCGACAACAACACAGACACAAGCAATGTATTCGCATATCGACAGATGGTGCGACCAGACCAGAAAACCAGCTTCAGCTCGTGGGAAGATCTCTACGGGCCACACAAAGTTCTAGGAAGCTCTGCCTCCAGTCTACTAGCCAACTTCAACTACACCTCCACATCTACAAAGGTGTTCCCAATCAACGGTTACGGGCCCGTTCCATTGAACCCAAGCAAATCACCCTTCTCGGCGGAGGACATCGCCATAGTAAGTCAACCCTTTTCACAGAAAACAACAGACAAACTAACCCTAACAGATCACGGACGGCGACTGTGTCTCGACTTGCGCGTTCTTCGTCAAGCTGATGAAACGCCAGGGCGTCCGGACCATCACATTCGGCGGCCGTCCACGAAAGGCGCCTATGCAGGGTGTTGGCGGTGTCAAGGGCGGCCAGTCGCTCGGGGTCAACTATATCAACGGATATATTGAGCAAGCGAATGGACTGATTAGAGACTCTGTCAACAGTGGATCTCCACTCTTGACCCCTGCCGAGTGGAAGGCATTCAATGAGTCCAGCCCGAGTACGACAGCCTCGCTTCAGTGGAGTGGGAATTTGAATTTGCGGAATGAGTATGACCCGGAGGATAGTGAGACTCCGCTGCAGTTTGTTTATGAAGCTGCTGAATGTCGGCTGTTCTATACGCTGGATAATTATGTGGAACGAGAGACTGTTTGGCAGGCTGCGGCGAAGGCTATGTTTGGGGGTGGGCAATGTGTAGAGGGATCGACCAACGGGAAGGGTAGTTTGGATTCTTGATCTGATTTACATTTCTGCAGAAAGACATACATAGAGTAGTTAATAGAAATTGTACCTAAACACATCGAATATACCTGGCCTACACAAAAGATGGTCTGAGATATGAAGTTTAGTTATGATAATCACTTCTCAGCTTAATTTGTCTAATTACTTCTTCGGATTGGTCTACAAAGAAAGCATGTCTGCTTCTAAAAATGATATTTTCAATTCTCGTGGCCCATTTCATGACTCTATCATAAAAGAACGAAAAGAAAAGCAAGTCGAGGCTGAGCAGAGTGAACACACCGCATGCAATGCAATGCAGGAAGAAAACAAGCACACAGGTTCATAATGTGTGCGTAGCAATCATTTTAGTCTCTGTCATGATCCCAAGATATTTGCAAAAAAGACGAAGATGGAATCGAGGATCAATCCACCATGGAGATCCAAAATCGCCAATGGACAAACACCGAAGGTCCTCTGTTCGATGGCTTCAAGCCCGGGAAAGTTGTCGCAGTAGCGCCAGCACTGAGGGAGAGTGTCCCTATCCTCATGCAAGCCGAGGTGAGAAGCAGCGTCGTAGGCTGTGGTGATTGATGCTCTTAGTCCGTTCGAACGAATGTACAGAGGGAATCGGATATCGAAAATGCCTCGCGTGGCAAGTAGTCAGAGGCAAGTTTTCGGAGCAGATGAGCGACGGCACTGTGCCAACGGCAGCGAGTATGAGGAGAGGGATTTGGCGAACATGGAGAATACTGAGGAAAGATGTATCCGGGGTATTCTTGCAGGGCAGAGCATCGAACTCTAGGGAGTAGCAGGGGATGAGCTTAGAGCTCGTCGACATCGATCTCCTTCTCGTCCTCGCTGTCGCGGTCCTCGTCGAACTCGACGTTGTCGTCCAGGCCTTCACCGCCGTAGGTATCGGTCTCGTTGATCTTGGCGTGCTCGGGAAGCTCGCCGTAGGCCTTCAGAGAACGGGCCTCGTCGGCGGTGTACTTCATGATAACATCACCTTTCTCGTCCTGGTAGTCACGGAGCGAGAGGAGAATGATATCACCCTGGTTGATCCAGACCTTCTTGCGAAGCTTGCCACGAATGTGGGCGAGACGCTTCTCGCCATCGAAGCAAAGTGCCTCCAGACGACCGTTACCCAGCATCTTCACGACTTGAGCGTACTCTTGGCCCTCCTCCTTGAAGACGAGCTCACGCTTCTCATTGTCGTTCTCGTTCTTTCCGCGACGACGGTTCTTACCGCCCTATAGTTGATTGTCAATATGTGTCACATGGAGTAATATTGGTGTTTCCCAAGATCAAAATCCTTCCACGAGTCCAAAAAGTCACCAGCTCGAGGAGCAGGTGGCTACCCTCGAGTGGGAAACGGTGGACGTGGCGAGGAAATTATCACCATGAGGAGGGGTTTTTGCGCGCTTACCTTTCCCTTGTTCTTGGGCATATTGTAATAATGCGACCTTCACCTGGGTCGATTCTCTCTGTGGTAAGTTTTTTTCCTAAGATCAACGAAGATCTGAAGAGTCCTAATCGATGTTGATTAGGGAAGTGAGAGTTGAAGAAAGAAGGAGGTGGGGGTTCTGTGCTCTTGTATTCAAATCTTTTATGTTATGTAATCAGGCACTGGCTGCCCAGTGGCGTCAGCGATTTTGCCCCGGTAAGAAATTTCTGCCTTTCTGCCTGATTTTGGGGGTTTGACCGCCTTATTTGATTGGCAGAAAAAAGATGAGGCGACACAATGTCAGATAGCTTCCCAAGGTTGAGCTTCAAGGAATTCTCCGAGGTCTTGCGATCATAGGTGCCGTTGGATCAGCTAGAGTTTGAATACTCATTTCAATTACAGCTGTTTTGCCCTCCGTACAGCCCTCCTGACAAGCACGAGACAACTTTATTCACGCAATCTCCGAAGATCCAACGCCTCCCAGGTACATTTCACAATACATTTGTGATGCTTTCTGATGACTCGATAATATTTCTCTGAACCGATATCCTGAACCTCCAATTCTCTGAAGTGTCCATAGACCCTCACCGGCTCAGTTTAATAAACCTTGTGGCGTTCAATCCGACATGATATCAATGTGCTACGACTCTCCTTATACTTCACAGTCCAAACCAGCATACCCTTACAACCACCGATAATCCTCTTTCATCATGGCGACAAAGTTTGTCACATCTACAAACAGCATGGTGCTCCGGTATTGGTCCAAATGCAACACTCCTCCAGTTGCTGCACGCTATCTGAATTCCCCTACACATCCGATCCGGCCCAAAATCGTCGATCTCTGCGCACATCGTGAAAGGAAAACATTATGGTGGCGGGTTTCGGTGTCACAGATTCAGCAAAGCAAGCGGGTGGTTCGCTCCTGGTGCGGGCGCCGAGTGCGAATTGCTTTCGAGCAGGCTTTGAAGCAGCAAGGATTGGATAAGCTGGGGAAACCCCTAGTTTCTGAGTCTCCTTCAAGAGGGAAAAAATTGACAGGAACCATTGAGATCTACATCCAGCCACCTTGTGTGACACAAGACTTCGAGGGGATCCAGAAGGATGCACAGCATCTATTATCCTTGCTTCTGAATCATGAGTCAACACGGAAATGATGATTCTCAATGAGCCACACTCGAAAGCTAAAGCCTGGGCAAGTTGGGCACATCATGCGACCCGTGAGATTCAATGTATATTATCACATCTTGTATCATACTAGCAGTCAACTGTTGGACTGTTGCTGTATATTATCTGGGCGACATTGTTATGGCGTTTAGGGGAAATTAATTTGCATTTGAGATTTGAATAATCTCAAGTATCCATTTCATTCATTATACCCTTCAATTTGGAAATAATTGTTCAATGTTCTCCGAGGTATAGAAGTAAATATAGAAAGCCCGAGTATCTTAGCTTCCCGTTACGGGATCTCGCTAAATGCCGATCTGGCGGAATCAACGACCCGGTCTAGGCTAAGAACTCGACAACCACCACCACTTATCCTAAACTCCCCCTTCCATTCTCGATATGTTGGTTTCCCTAACAGTTGGCAAGGTTGACGCCGGTGTCGCGGTGCTCCTTACTCAAGACAATCGACTCGTAAGCTCAACCCCCTGGTCGCCTGCTCCCTACTCCGCAGGCATCGACTTGCAATTCTACGGAATAGCAAACACATCTTACTAGCAATTATGTTACTAACAAATTTTGCGCGCAGATTGAATTCCCCTCAGTTCTTCTTCCAAACAACATTAGCTCAGGCAGCATTGTTGATATCACCGTTTCGCGCAACCATGCGGCTGAAGCAGCGAGCGCATCTGCCTTCCAATCCCTCCAGAAGCGAATCCTAAATACCTACGGTGTCAAGGCCCCGTCGCCACCAGTTCTGCGCCTGCGAAATGCAACCCAAACCTCGCTCGTCCTCGAGTGGGACCCAATCGACCTAGCCACTGCATCCCTGAAATCACTCTCCCTCTACCGCAATGGCTCCAAGGCCGGCTCCATACCCCGCCCGCTCGAGACACGTAGCACAAAAATCAGCGGTCTGGCGATTCACTCCGAGTACTCCTTCCATCTGGTCCTGCGGACCACCGCAGGCACCTACCAGTCGGAGAAGCTGACGTGTCGTACACACAAGATGACCGACCTGTCCGGTATCACTGTCACAACGGGCATCCTCGATCCGCAGCAGAAGGAGGCTCTGGGTGCTGCATTGGACCGTATTGGAGGCAAGATGATTGACACAGTCCGTATCGATACCACTCACTTCGTCTGCACGGAAGGACGGGGCGCGCAGTGGGAGAAGGCTGTGGAGATGAACATTCCTGTCGTGGTGCCGGAGTGGGTGGATGCTTGTGAGACAGAGGGAACCATTGCTGGTGTGCGTGGCTACTATCTCAACGCAGACCCCAAAGCCCGTCAACTCGGCGTGATCCACGGCTCGTCCCATCAGCGTACTACTTCTACTATTTCGTCTGCAACTGCCAACCAGGGAAGACCTAGCACTCAGCCCCAACGGAGCCCTGCACAAGAGCCGGTGCCCGAGGAGCCCCCTCTGACCCCATTCCCTGGAGGTGAGACGAGTAGCCAACCCCAGGCGCAGGCGCAGACACAGGAGGTTGGATCACAAGATGACGAAGACGACCTCCCACCCCCTCCGCCCCCGCCCAAGGATGAAGCTGAAGATGCAAATGAATCTACACGGAATGGCGAGGCAGAAGTGACATCTACTCCAGAAGAGAAGAGCGAGGAGCCTGAAGCTGAAGTCGCAGGGAGCGATAAGGAGACAGACAAAGAGCAAACCCTTCCACAGCACAGGCCCGAGGATGATTCCGAGTCAGCAACCACCGGAGATGTAAAGGGCAAAGGTAAAGAGACTGAAGGTGACTTCAACGAAGTGCCTCTCTGAATAGCCCTCTGATGATCTATTCTGCTCTTATCATTGCTTCGCAATCCCTTGACATCCCTACCCTACCTTTGTCCCCCTTGTCCAGCGTCTACGACTTTCTCCAGTATAGCTTTACCTTGTGGTTGGCGTGTCTCTTCACCTAGGACAAACCATAGGATTCTTACGAACGTGCGACTTTTCCTCATTTTCCTCATGTTTCGTGTTTACTGTTATATGTACAGTACGTTATTTTCCTAATGCAGCCTCATTGACTTGATCTAGTCTATCTGAGTAGACCTTGTATGTAGCAACGAAACTTTACTAGACTTTCTCAAAGTTCCGCTCGCCGTTCAGACCGTTCCTTGGTCTTCAAGGTTGAAATGGGCCAGACTACATAGAGAATATGGATTGATAAAAACTGGCAAATAATTCATCTCCAGCTGTGACTAAGAATAAAGGCTGTCTGAAACATAAGAAGGCGAAATTCATCCTCCAGTTTCACCTAACCAGCCCATCTACTAACCCTTCCAGACTTAAGCGTGTTCCAGTTTTCACGAAGAGCAGCAGCCTGGACCCGCGTGCATAGTCTGAAACGATCCCCGTTTGCAGCGTCGATGAAGAGCTTGATGGATTTCTTCTGCGCTTCATTCTTCTTTGGCGAGCACAATACAGCGAAGATTTCAGTCGAGGCACACCTGGTCGACGACTTAACCGCCAAACTCCTGCTGGGAATGGATGCAATAGGAAATGAGGGCTTCCGAGTCGACATGAAGCAACGCACTGTACGTGATGGGAGGACATAACCAGGTTCTGCTCCTCGGGCAAGGCGTAGGTAGACATAATCTCCCACGTTGAAAAAAATTGGTTTATGTCGGTTATCGTATTGCCGTTTCATCACCATCGCGGCATACTTGGCGCATTCATCCGCGTCCTGACGGTTGGCTTGTGGTGATCCAACAAATGCATCACGCAAGAGATTCCATGGCATACGTAAGGCGATGCCATACATAATTTTGTGTGGAGACTCGCCAGTGGAGACGTTAGTTGACGCGTTAAGAGATGCTTGCATAGGGGCAAGTCCGTCATCCCAGTCTGTGTCTTGGTGAAGATTTTGCCAATGGCGAAGCCAGATTTCCGCGGTCTGATTCGACCGTTCCGATTGTCCGTCCGCTGACGGGTGATATGCCGCGGTATACATCACTTTGGTCCGTAACGCTGTGAACAGTCCCTTCCAGAAACCCTCAACAAATCTCTTGTCCCTGTCGGAAATCCAGACCACTGGCACTCCCCAGTCGCCTTTTTGCAGATCTTGTAGGATCGCGGCTGCCCAGTCGTATCCCTTCCACGTCTTTTTTCCTGGTGTGGAACCAAGACGCTTCGTGGATTTACAGGTGTAAATCGCTACTGCGTCAAAACCTTTCTTCGTTCGGGGCAGTCCTGTGACGAAGTCAATACAGAGGTTATGTCGTACACAGAGGTGCCAAGAAGCTTCGTGCGTACATCGATCAGTGCGACGAATGTAGGAAAAACGCGGTACCCAGACATAAGCCTTATGGCTCACTTCAGCCGATGCTGGCACCACCGATCCCCTTCCATACCCTCTGTATTGACTTCGTCACGCCTGATCTATCCACGCTGGTGGTAACAACTGGCTCCCAATTTTTGAAGCCGAATTTCATCCCGACAGCTCTTGTAACGGAACATTCAGCGGTTGCTTCCTAGGGGGCAGGCTATGACCAGGCTTGGACGTTCGCAGATCATAGGACAACCGACGCTTGCTACCAGTCGGCTGATCCATACTGGGCGGGATGCAGGGCCTGTTCGTGGGTGTTTCGAGGAACAGCCCATCAAGGGCTAGCTCTGGTAAGAATGATGGATCTACTCGATGGAGAATAGATCAAATTGACGAAAATACAATGTGTAAAATTGTATTATGACGAGAGGTGTGTAGAAGAAGAAACTACAAAATACAGGTGGGATCTAATTTACATGCACCTGCCTAATGCGGCAGGGAGGGACCCACATGCCATGTGATACAGGGAGCCCCAAAACAAGCTCTGAATGATGGCAGGGGAAACACGAGACAGTTATCTTGGGTCTGTCAGGTATCGGGTTGATATATCGGTCAGAATGCTGGTTGTATCTTTCAGCCGATCGGGGGGTGGGTAGACCATAAGATGTCTCTATCCTATGATCTCCGGGAGGAGTAGTGGATAGGTCGACCACCAGCACACAGATTGTATACAACAAATTCACGAAGCTCGTGTTTATCTTTGCTTCATGCGCTCACCCCTTGACTTTGGAATCGCCAAATGGTTTCTTTTCTCCAATGGAACTCGGCAGCGCCGTGAAACCTCCAGTATTATGTGTTTCCCTGCTCTCCAGAGCCGGGTTTTGTAATCTCCTTGTGATCTGCTCTGGTCGAGGTTCTTTATAAAGAATAGGATCGGTGTAGTATTAGTATTTCATCAATCAAGGTACATATTTGCACAGAAAGATATCTGAGAAGACGACTGAAAAGACGATTGAAAAGACGACTGAAAAGATATCACAAGGCCGATTATACGGCCGACTATTCTTGTTTCCTTATAAGTAGAGTAAATTCGGCTATGATTAGTGCCAGTTAGAGCCTCTCATATAACGGCATGTAGTTAGTTACTGCCGCATTTGAGCACCTGCCTAATTAGTGATGGGTCTTCCTCACCTTTTGCTTCATTTACCTTCTCCCTCTTCCTTTCTTCTTCCTCCCCCTACACTTCATCACCTTGATTAAGCTCCCAATAACATACTTATCTCATGTTGTGTCGTGTTTCCTCCGACATCCTTCAGAATTAGCCCAGAACAGGCGGTTCATCGAAACACCCACCAGACAGACCTAAGATACCTGTCTCGTGTTTCCCCTGTCATCCTTCAGAACTAGCCCTTGATGGACTGTTCATCGAAGCATTTCGAAATGTACATGGTATGTCGGCAACCCTCCTGTTAGGAGGTTTTTCCGGCGCTGACCAAGTTTCTTCTATCAGTTTCCTTCACTGGAGATAGCTCACTGTGTAGACGCTTTTTGCGCGGAATCAGTAACTCAAATCAACAAAGAGAAAAGAACCCGTTCGATTCCAAAGTCATAGGGCGAACGCATGAAGCAAAGATAAACACGAGCTTCGTGAATTTGCTCTACGCAATCTATCTGTTACTGCCGACCGACTTGAAGTGAGATATTATGCAGTATCATCTAAATCTGCATATCGGTGGGGCTCAATACAAAAAGCAATTGTCGACGGTGGTTTGTTGCATCCTGATGGGGGAATCCATGTATTAGTCGAAGTACAGGCTATGCATCTGTCGGCAAGTTCGGTAAAGGAAGTCCTGATGCAGCAGGGTCTCGAGGTGTTAGCATGGATTACCACAACGCTCGGCATCCAAGGGTCAAAATGGACCAAGAGTTGGAGCGGCCCTAGAGGCCCAGAATATCAACATGCGTTGCTTACGATAAAGTCCCGGACGTCGCCCTCATATCATCAGCCCTATCCGTCTACCCTAAGCTCAAAGCTGTCGGAGAGTTGAAGGTGCCGTGGGTCGAAGCGCTCGACTTTTCGAACTATTAGACAATGATGGTGTCCATGCGGAAACTGCTGGCACAGAGCTGGACGTCAAGTACGGCTGGCTCTCAATCTACAATCAATCAATCTTTCTCCGGCAGACGTATGAGAACAATTCCTGGAGAATAGAGTATTCCCCTATATATCTAAACAGAATGGTATCTGAAAAGATCCAGTATTCTTGTTCTTTCATAATAATTTATTACTGTATTGTAATCTTCTAGTACTAAACAAAAGTTTATTACTTTTAAGCCTCAAATTGCTAGTAAATCTATGACATGTTTGAATTTACATATGTATTGGACTTACTAGTATTACAAATCCCGTAATTGATAAACCATTGTAAGAATGGTAGTAGTATAGGGCAGCAGGCGAGGGCTAGACAAAGTTACAGGTGGAAAGGCAGCCGTTTCTGGCCTCAGAAGCGGTCATTGTCAGCGTCAATTCCACATGTCCTTATATTCTAGTTGTATTTCTATCGTGAGTCGTAAATCAGATGGCACGCCAGATGCAAAGTCAATAATCTGCAAACAAAAAGCCGGCCCGTTTTGAAGACCAAAATGCATATGGAGGCAGCCTACGCAAAATGAAAATTTCAAAACAAATCCAGTTCGGACTCGTTTCGAATTTAGTTCTCGTTGCGAACGACATCGTCAATCGCCTGTGCAACGTAGGCGACGTTCTTTTGGCTCACTGTACACAATGTCAGCTCGTGTTTATGGGTATCTATGTTTGGGGGTCCTTACGGCCGCTGATAGATGCTCGGCCTGACTTAAGAAGGTAAATGTGGTACTTGTCCTTCAAGGCGTAGACTTGCTTGGGTGTAAGACCGGTGTAGGAGAACATGCCGTTCTAAGAAAAGAATTAGCACAACGTTACACATATAGTAAAATCCGAATAGCTTACCTGCTGGATAATGTGCTCCCAAGTGCCGGGGGTCTGCAGACGGACCAGTTCATTGTACAGAGCCTTACGCATGGCCTTGATGCGCGAGCTCATGACCTTCAAGTCCTCGTGCCAGTCGGCAGTAAGCTCCTCACTGTTGAGGACCTTCTTGACGATGGTGCAACCAACACGCGGACCCATGGAGAACTCGCCACGGATCAGGTGGCATAGGTTGTTCACGACGATGTCGCGCAGGGAGACTGAAGCGCGGTTGGTACAGTAGTGGAAAGCACCAACGCGCTGGCCGTACAGGCCGAAGTTCTTGGAGAAGCTCTGTGCCACACACATCTCCATGTCCGGCTTGTTATTGAAGAAGTAGCGGACGGCCCAGGCGTCCTCCTCGACGGAACCCGAGGCGAAGCCCTGGTAGGCTGAATCAAAGAAGGGGAAGAGCTTCTTGCGCTCGCAAAGGTCAGCGAGGGCAACCCACTGCTCCTTGTTGGGATCCAGGCCGGTGGGGTTGTGCGCGCAAGCGTGCAGCAGCACAACATCGCCCTCCTGTGCCTCGGACTCGAGGGTGGACATCATGCCCTCGAAGTCGAAGGACCGGGTCGCGGCATGGTAGTACGGGTATGTCTTGCGGGGCACGCCGGCCAGCTCCCAAATGGTCTGGTGGTTGGCCCAGGACGGGTTGGACAGCCACACGTTGCCGGGTTTCATGTGGTGGGCAAGGAAGAGAGCGCCAAGGTGGTTGGCGCCGGTACCGGCGACGGTCTGCACGGAACCAATGCGTGCCTTGGCATCTTCTTCGCTTTGTTTGCCCTCGAATCCAAACATCAGATCCCGTGCGATTCCAAGGAAAGGCACATCACCCTCGATCGCAGTGTATTCGTGGCGGAAAGCGTCGTCTTCTACCACCAGCGCCTTCTCGGCCTTTTGCACGACGGGAAGGGGCCATGGCTTTCCATCGTCTGTTCGGTAGACACCCACGCCCAAGCTAACTTTCTGCGGGTGGGGATCAACGGCGTAGGCGCCGTTCAGGGCGAAGATCTCGTCCGGGGGCACTGGGGAAACATTAAGACGGGTATCGACTTTGCTCATTTTGGTGTAGAGAAATTGCAATTGGGATTGCTGGTATCACTTTTAGGCAATTTGTGGCGAGACCGCGGCGAGTATAAGTAACCTTGGAAGCAAAGATTAAAATTGGCCGCTGAGTCAACCGATATCGCCGTCTTTTTGCCCCGCGGGAAGTCCCGCTTAGTTGCGGATTCCGGGGTGCAAGAAACGTAAAAATGGAATGCCTTCATCTTTTTTGGATTCAAAGGAAGAGATAGCCGTCAATAGCCTTCTGGTTCTAGCCATGTGCTGGTTGTTGAGCAACGTTGAGAGACGTTATTGATCTCCCTGAAGTCTAAAGATCAGCATGAAACGTCATCAGAGGTCTGCTGACACACATTATGCACTTTATTTCCAATAGGATAAATATGAGTTTTTTGGCGTGTAACACTTCATTAGAAGAAAGTTGATGATGGCTCGTCGTGGTGTTGGGAATGCTTGGGAGAGGGGGGGCTACATAGCGATATATAAAGGGCTGAGAGATATATATCAAGGTAAAATGACATCTCTTCTACAACATTTACCTATGACTCGTATTGTTTCCTATTATTCTTTTTGGCTTTCTAGATGCATATTTTTAATGTCTTTGTTAATATTCCAACGTGGAAAAGTCTAGTTACAGTTCTTTATTGTATGTATGATGTACTTCATCTGTCTCCAATTATACGTACACAGCAAATGTACTCAAACAGGACAAAAGCATCGAAGGATACCATGGGAATCTGTTGAACTAGTCATAAATTGTCAAATTTTGTTCAAGCTCCTCCCTTACTCCATCCTTTGAGGTTGATTTGCAGTTGAGGATAAAAGATGCTTAGACTCGATATTATGCTACACAACCACTCAGCTTATCTCCTACCGAGATATAGGAATACCCCGACACTGACCTTATGTGCCTACTCACC